AGAGATAAGAAAGCCTTCCTCAGCGATCAGTGCAAAGAAATAGAGGAAAACAACAGAATGGGAAAGACTAGAGATCTCTTCAAGAATATTAGAGATACCAAGGGAACATTTCATGCAAAGATGGGCTCAATAAAGGACAGAAAATGGTATGGACCTAACAGAAGCAGAAGATATCAAGAAGAGGTGGCAAGAATACACAGAAGAACTATACAAAAAAGATCTTCACGACCCAGATAATCACGATGGTGTGATCACTCACCTAGAGCCAGACATCCTGAAATGTGAAGTCAAGTGGAAGCATCACTACGAACAAAGCTAGTGGAGGTGATGGAATTCTAGTTGAGCTACTTCAGATCCTGAAAGATGTTGCTGTGGAAGTGCTGCACTCAATATATCAGCAAATTTGGAAAACTCAGCAGATGCCACAGGACTGGAAAAGGTTAGTCTTCATTCCAGTCCCAAAGAAAGGCAATGCCAAAAATGCTCAGACTACCACACAGTTGTACTCATCTCACATGCTAGTAAAGTAATGCTCAAAACTCTCGAAGCCAGGCTTCAGCAATATGTGAACCATGAACTTCCAGATGTTCAAGCTGGTTTTAGAAAAGGCAGAGGAACCAGAGATCAAATTGTCAACATCTGCTGGATCATCGAAAAAGCAAGAGAGTTCCAGAAAAACATCTGTTTCTGCTTTATTGGCTAGGCCAAAGCCTTTGACTGTGTGGATCACAATAAACTGGAAAATTCTTCAAGAGATAGGAATATCAGACCACCTGACCTGCCTCTTGAGAAATCTGTATGCAGGTCAGGAAGCAACAGTTAGAACTGGACATGGAACAACAGACTGGTTCCAAATAGGAAAAGGAGTACGTCAAGGCTGTATACTGTCATTGTGTTTATTTAACTTATGTGCAGAGTACATCATGAGAAACGCTGGGCTGGATGAAGCACAAGCTGGAATTATGATTGCCAGGAGAAATATCAATAACCTCAGATATGCAGATGACACCACCCTTATGGCAGAAAGTGAAGAAGAACTAAAGAGTCTTTTGATGAAAGTGAAAGAGGAGAGTCAAAAAGTTGGCTTAAAGCTCAACGTTCAGAAAACTAAGATTGTGGCATCTGGTCCCATCACTTCATGGCAAATAGATGGGGAAACAGTGGAAATAGTGGCTGACTTTATTTTTCTGGGCTTCAGAATCACTGCAGATGGTGATTGCAGCCATGAAATTAAAAGACACTTACTCCTTGGAAGGAAAGTTGTGACCAACCTAGACAGCATATTAAAAACCAGAGACGTTACTTTGCCAACAAAGGTCCGTCTAGTCAAGGCTGTGGTTTTTCCAGTAGTCATGTATGGATGTGAGAGTTGAACTATAAAGAAAGCTGAGCACTGAAGAATTGATGCTTTTGAACTGTGATGTTGGAGAAGACTCTTGAGAGTCCCTTGGACTGCAAGGAGATCCAACCAGTCCATCCTGAAGGAGATCAGTCCTGTGTGTTCATTGGAAGGACTGATGTTGAAGCTGAAATTCCAATACTTTGGCCACCTGATGCGAAAAGCTGATTCATTTGAAAAGACCCTGATGCTGGGAAAGATTGAGGGCAGGAGGAGAAGGGGACAACAAGAGGATGAGATGGTTGGATGGCATCACTGACTCAGTGGACATGGGTTTGGTTGGACTCCAGCAGTTGGAGATGGACAGGGAGGCCTGGCGTGCTGCGGTTCATGGGGTCGCAAAGAGTTGGACATGACTGAGCTACTGAACTGAACTGAACTGACTGAGCTAAGCAATGCCTGGATAAAACATTACTTTTGGGTGTGTCTGTCAGAGTCATTCCAGAAGAGATAACCATTTGACTCAGTGCATGGAATGAAGAAAATCTGCCCTCACCAGTGTGGGTGAACATCATCCAATCCCTGAGGGCCTGGGTAAATAACAAGAAGGTGGAGGACAGGCAAGTTCTTTCTTCCTCTCTCTTCTTGAACTGGGATGTTGATTTTCTCCTGCCCTTGGACATCAGAGCTCCTGGTTTTGGGGCCTTGGAAATCCAAGACATATACCAGTGGCCCCCCCAGTTCTCAGCTGGGATGTTGATTTTCTCCTGCCCTTGGACATCAGAGCTCCTGGTTTTGGGGCCTTGGAAATCCACGACATATACCAGTGGCCCCCCCGGTTCTCAGTCCTTCATTATTTGGACTGAATTATACCACTGGCTTTCCTGGTTTTCCATCTTACACATTGCAAATGTGGGACCTCTCTGCCTCCATGAACATGTGGCCAATGCCTATAATCAGTCTGTCTCCTGTTTCTCTGGAGGACCCCGACTTAACACACTAACCATACACAGGCCAAAACCTGAGTGAGATGCCACATCACACCCACTTGGACTGGTTATCAAGAAACTAGAAGATCAGGATTGGCAAGAAATTGGAACCCTGTGCTCGTTGGTGAGAATGTGAAATGGTACCACCGCTGTGGGAAACAGTAGTGGTTCCCCCCGCCCCTCCACATTAAACATGGAGTTACCACATGACCCAAAAGTTCTCCTCCATGAAAAGCAGAGATTCAGAGAGAGATTTGTACACCCCCATTTACAGTAGCATTATTCGTGATGGTCAAAAGGTGGACACAACCAAGGTACCTATGAATAACAAAATACAGTATGTCCCTGCAATGGATTATTACTCATCCTTAAAAAGGAAGGAAATGCTGACATTGGCTGTACCATGGATAAGCCATAAAGTCATTATGCTCAGTGAAATAAGGACAGTATTGTATGATTCCACTTGGATGAGGTCCTTAGAACAGTCAGATTCATAGAGACAGGGGATAGAGTGCTGGTCACCAGGGCTTTGGTGGAAGGAATACAGAGTTGGTGTTTAGTGAGTGTGGTGTCTCAGTTTGGGAAGAAGACAAATTCTGGAGATGGATGGGGCAGTCAGTGCATGGCAAATGGATGGACTTAATGCCACAGAACCGTATGCTTTCAAATGTCTAAAATAGTAAATGTTACATATAACTTACCACAACTTTAAAAAAGACAGTTTTGATTTTCCACTCACCATCAAGCCCCAAAAAGGTGTGAGATTTAAAAGGAAGAAATGCAGTCATTGTGTTCCACCAGGTCTGCAGCCAGCATATCTGGATCATTGGGATGGTAAAGACAATCACTTGGAAGAGCACGTGATTTTTTAATCTTTAATACAGATGTTTTAGTGTTAAGTTCAACTTATGGGAAATTTTTCTGCCAGTGTGGCTGGAGGAGTAAAACACAAAGCAGATTCCTCAGGGTAAAGGGTATCTGAAAACACACATCTTGGCCTGTGAGATCCAGAGCTGTGCTATCCCTTCTCCACAACATGCAGATTCCCTGGAGCCCCTCGTGGTGGACCAAGGCCATTGTGGGCCTGGGTCCTGGTGGCCCTGCTCCCCGCGGCACCCACGGGGGCATCTTTAGGTCACCAAGAGGTGCTCTGTGGACACAGCTTGAGTGAACAGTTCTCACAGGCACACAGCTAGGAGAGACGCAGTGCACATGGGCCTGGGCGGTGGTGCTGGCTTGATTTCATTCCTGTTGCTGTAAATTCTGTTAACTGCTAATATTTCTCAGCTTACTGCGCCGTGGCCAGAGGACCTGGCTCCCCAGGGTGTTTGCCGTGGTCTGCTGTGGCGGTGGTGATGCAGACGCGTCCCCAGGGGGAGCAGGCTGAGTGGCCAGAGAAGCAGGGGGAGGGGAGGTCTGGAGGGGTGGGGTTGACAGGAGGGACTGTGAGAGGGGCTGGGAAGCAAGTGGGTTTAGAAACAGAGAGGTTGATGTGAATTTGGTGAAATATAGGACTGAGTGTGTACAGGGTTTGGTGTGGATGTTTTTCAGGCATTTTTCCAGTTTTGCTAATTTCTAGGGAAATAAAACCATTGAGAATGGTTACTGCCATTTTCAGAAAATGTGCCACCCTTTTCCCGGGTCCTTCCTCACCTGCTTCATTTGGCACTGTGAGTTCTGGCCATCAGGCTGTTCCCTGTGCTTTAATCTACTGCTCTTGTCACCACGAGTAGAATTCTGAGTCCTGGAAACAGTGGAAGGTGTTCTGTGCTCTTCTCGATGCCTGGGGCCTGGACACCTGGTTAGTCGCTCTGTGGCCTGTCGCCATTATATGGTTGTATAGTCAGACCTAAGGATGCCACCTGCTTGCAGTGAGGGGGGCTGTGCTGGACACTGGCCTGCAGGGAGCAGGGAAGGTTACCTTTGCCTTGGAAGGTCACCTTTGCCTGCTAGGTCTGCCTGTGGTCACTTTCAGGTCACAGGAGGCTATGATGGCAGATCATGTGTGTGCATATTCTTTTGGAATCCAAAAATGTGGGCACTAACCTCACTCTGATTCAGTTCTTATCAGTCACAACAGCCCAGCAAACCCTGCTGTAGCCAACAATGAGTTCAGAAGGGATACCATATGGAAATACTCTGTTGACAAGTTCATGGTCTTAGAAATGATCCTTAGTCATGCCTCTTGTTTGCTTGTCACCTTGTCAGTCTGGCCAAACATTTGTGAAAAAAGATACTACAACTCAATCTCAGGTTCCACGTACCTGGTGAATATTTGTACTGAAGAATCAGTTCATTGGAAGATGCCTAGAGGGCTCTTAGGTTTGGGAAACTCAATTTTCAGTTTGAAAGCCCACTGGTGTGCATGGGCAGTGCTTTCCTTTTGCTGCTATTAACGCAGGGCAGCCCCAGCTCGGAAGGCTTGATACCAGAGTTGCACACACACACACGTGTAGATTGAGACTCCAGACCTGTCTCAAGGCTACAGTGGGGAGATCTGTTGTACTTGTGGCCACAGCTTTCCTCGAGGTGCAGATTAAGGGCTGGGGCTTTGTGGTCCTGGGTGTTAAACAGCCTCTGTTCAGCAGAGAGTGTGTGATCCTTTGGCTTCGGGTGCTGCTGCGAGAAACTAATTATCTTCCTGTGATGTCCACTCCCTGCTCCCCACCCAGGAACGGCGCCTGTGGCCTTCAGACGGCTCTGAACCTCGGCCCACCTCAGAGGTAAGCGATTGGACACTGGCGAGGTGTGGGTGGCAGGAGATGAACAAGATTGGTGGAAGGGTTGAATGTGTCAGCACAGACAAAGACTAAGATGTGTGCCAATAACCTGGTTTAAGAGGTGGAGGAGGGACTTCCCTGGTGGCCCAGTGGTATTAAGACTTCACCTTCCAATGCAAGGGGTTCGATCCCCAGCCAGGGAGCTAGGATCCCACATGCCTGGAGGCCAGTATAACCCAAACATGAAAGTGTTGTAACAGATTCAATAAAGACTTGGTATGATTGGGAAGGGGCCTTCTAGGTGGTGCAATGGTAAAGAATCTGCCTGCCAATGCAGGTTCGATCCCTGGATGGGGAAGATCCCCTTGAGTAGGTAATGCCAACCCACTCCAGTATTCCTCCTTGAAAAATTCCATGGACAGAGGAGTCTGGTGGACCACAGTCCATGGGGCTGCACAGAGTTGGACACGATTGAGCACGCACACACATACAATTGGGAAAATAAGTTTTTTGCCTTTAAGTTGAAAATATGGTATGAGAGAAGTTGATGGATGAATATTTATCTTTATACGTATGTCTTCCTCTAGAAGAAAGTCGAATGGTGAATAAGTTATGTTAAGAAATGTCGATTCTTTTGGGGAAAAAATCTATAATCATCTTTACTTTGGAATATAAAACATTTTTCATGTTGGTTGCTAAAAATTACAGGAAATTTTATCCAAAATAACTGGAAAACTCTAGAAGCCAGAAAGAAAAAGTCACTTGTTTCATATTTTAAAGTAACTGATAGGGCAACAAGTTCCTATAAATAAGTCATAAGTTGTCCCAGCCTTGTATCTGCTCCAAGTACAGGCCTGTGGAGTTGTCAATTACAAAGGAAATTCTGTACCCTTCCCCACTCCTCTGAATCACAGGACTAGAAGCTAGAAGGGGCTTGAGAAAGCAGGGGGCTGTCCTTACTTTCTATAAAAAAGAGTGAGACCTGGAGCAGGTCATGTGGGGGGCTGGCCTGGGGGTGGGGGCTCCTGTATTCTTCTTAACCCAGTGGGAAATGTACACATAGCACATACAATAACTCCATTAAACCTACATTTTCAGGTAACTGCAATTATCCGTTGCTGAACCATCCTGGGTTTGGCAAGGTGAGTGATGTAAGTCATTAGGAATGAGAAAACTTTTCTTCTGGAATAGTCTTTACTTGTTTTTTTGGTGGGGGAAGTTTTCAGACGGGTGAGAACAGACCAGGCGTGAATTTCCCTGCGGCCGTCACGTCCGTGGTCATCACTGTGCTGAGAACATCTCGCAGCCGTTCCTCTCTTCCCTGCAGACCATGTATGCCCCGCGGTCCAGGGATGGGGTGACTGCCCCGCCTTTTCTCCAGAGGGATCGGTTCAGCCGCTTCCAGCCCACCTACCCCTACGTGCAGCACGAGATTGACCTTCCCCCCACCATCTCCCTGTCGGACGGGGAGGAGCCACCTCCTTACCAGGGGCCCTGCACCCTGCAGCTCCGGGACCCTGAACAGCAGATGGAACTCAACCGAGAGTCGGTGCGGGCACCGCCCAACCGAACTGTATTTGACAGCGACTTGATAGGCGTGTCTGTGTACAGTGGGGGCCCGTGCCCACCCAGCAGCAATTCAGGCATCAGTGCCAGCACCTGCAGTAGTACCGGGAGGATGGCCGGGCCGCCCCCGGCCTACAGTGAGGCGATGGGCCACTACCCGGGCGCCACTCCCTCCCATCCCCAGCACAGCAGTGCGCACAGAGGCAGCAGACTGCTGCTCCAGCGGGAAGGCCTCGGAGCACGGAGCTGCCCATCCAGGGCACGGACAGGAAGCCCAGGGAGTGCGTCTGACCTTCGAGCACACCTGATGTGAGAAAAGAAATGGGGGAGTTGCAGCACAGCAGAATTCAGTAAAACAGAACAATTCTTTTCAGGGGAGCCACATGCAGAAGGGAATAGTGCAAACCTCCAGTCTGGCCACAACAGTATTCACCTGCGGCAGAGACGGGACAGGGTTGGTTTTGGCAAAGTGTGGGCATGAGAACACAAAAGGGTGCTTTGAAGACACCATGAAATAAAACCCACGAGGTGTTTGACTTAACTGTGAAAGCAGAGGCCAGAATGCCTGGTTTACAATTAACCGAATACAGAGGAAAGTTATACATTATGGGGAAGACTCACTAGTTTGCTTTCCCCCTGAACTGTGGAACTTTTGTTTTAAAAATATGATTCTAAGTTCCTGGTTTGTGTGCCAAGGTATAAAGTGAAGTCAGATGAATGCAAGGAGTTAAATCTGTGTTGTGATGCTGTGTTTTTAAAAATTGCACTATCTTCATTGTTTTAACATGAGGAAGCTTTATGTGAAGTCCTGTATGTTGTTTTCTCACCTGTGCATCATTATTAGGCCCCATAATAATGTTCCCCCCGTAATTATGCAGGAAAGGGTGTTTGGGGAGGTAGCCTAACATACTGCTAACTTACACTTGTGAAGAGAGCATCACAGGGCATGCATCACCAAGGCACCTGCAGACTGGATGGAGCAGAGGAAACTCCTGCATCCCTGGTGGGTCGAGTCCCTCCAGCTGTGTGTTTTACGCCTGCATTCACACATCATGCAGTGCTGTCCTAGTCCTCCAGCAGTGCAGTTTCTGCAGTAATTGTTTTTTTTTTTTCACTGTAGCATGAAATATACTCAGATAATACACTATTTTATGCAATAAATTGTTTAAAATGCAAGGTGGTTATTTTTATACTGTTGAAACATGTGATTCCTGTGGCCTGTCTTTCCCTGGATAGTTGAGTTCAGGCCTGGATGGCTGATCAGTGAGACTCGGCAGTGGCTCCCATGTGCCTGCTGCCCTAGTGTTGCCCAATGCTGGCTGCAGGTTCTGTGTGTGTAGAAACTCCTGGGTTGAGGAAGAGAACCAGCCCCATATGGGAACCAGCGCCTGGGAGAGACACAGGGCTCAGAACCAGCCACGCTCCTGGGTCACTCAGCCTCTCCTGGAGACCAGAGCTGGGCAGGGTGACTCAGAGCCTTGGGTGAAAATGAAAAGCACAACCTGCTGCTAAACTCAGCTGGAAGACTTAAATCTTGTGATGTTCATTCTCACCTCACACAGTAACTTCCTTCTGCAGGGCATCTGCCTTTTCTGCACCTGAGTGGGGGCTTCTGTGCAGCCCCCGCCTGGTCTCTGACCTGTAGGTCCGAGTGTCCACTCAGTTCCAAGTGTTGTCATCTTGGGTGTGCTTGTCTGGCGAGGTGCCCTTGTGCCACTGGCAGAGCACTGTCAACCTCAGATCCTGTCTGCTACCCTTTCTGAGGCCCCTCTTGGCCGGTAAGTCCTGGGTTTTGTCTGAAGGATTGGAATCCTCATCCATTTCACAGTGACATCCACACAAGTAGTTGTCTCTCTCAGAAGGAGAAAATGGTCAGCGGTTGTCACTCATGCTTCAGATCCTTTTGGGCAGTGTGTCTGCTGAGGGCCACAGTGGGAGCTCTAGGACAGGCAGAGCTCTGGGGGCCCTGACCAGAAGACCTCTTCATCCCCCCATGAGGTCAGACGGCCTTGACTGCGAGCCTGCGCTTGGTTGATGGAGGCCTCACCTTGAGTTGGCAGTGAATTTGGGGAAGTGCCTGTCCTCCTTGTCTGCGGCAGATTGTCAGTCAGGCATCCTCCCAGGTGCAGAACGAGGAGGTTGCCTGATGGTGTTGTCATTCCAAACTTCGCCAGCACTTTTGGGAGAGTGGGTGAGCCCAGTCTACGGTTCTAGCTCAAAATGGTGAGTTACGCTTAGAAATTAGTAAATTTCTGCAAGTACCTGAACATCTAGCACCTGTCCACGGTACTGGCAAAACAATTGTTTAATTCAAATAGCTTTAATTGTCCTTTAAAACAGATGTTGCTCTCTTTCAGCCACCCTATTAGATAACTGCCTCTAATGTAAACAGTTAAAGATGTCTGCATCTGTAACTATTCAAAGCATGACTTAAATGTTCTCTGAGGCTGGGCCTCTGTAATGAATTAGTTTAAAAGCTGAGGTCCTAAACTGAATTAGGTCAGTCTCCCTTCCATACAGGGAGATGATTTAGGTCTCGACTCTCTCGGAGGTTGTGTGGCCTGGCATGTATAGGAGACATGGCCCTGAAGCTGCAGCCTAGTCAGTGGGGCCTGAGGGTCCAGGTTAGATGCCAGAGTCAGGTGACCAGGGAGCAGTGGGTGGAGGCTGGGCTCCACCATCTCAGCAACACCCTGGGTGTGAGCCTTGAGCAGACCCACCTACAGGAAGATTCACGCATCTGTTGACTTTTTCAGGAAGCCTGGTTCCTCAGACGCTGAGGTTGTCCTTTCCTACAAAAGAGATTTTGCTAAACAAGCCACGCATTTACAAAGTTCTTGTGACCAAAATTCAGTGTTTAAAAAGCTTGACAGGCCTACTCTCTGTCCTCCACACCACAAATACACTTGGATACCAGCCCAAACAGCAGAGGAAAACATGCCAAACACAGGCAGGTTTGTTCTGAGAAGGACACTTAAATCCACTAACTGCAACTGGGAGAGGACAGGGGCTAGTAGAAAGGGGCCAGTAGGAAACTGCGGGCCTTTCACCCCAGCACAGGGATCTGTGCTCAGATAAGCATGCCTCCAACTTCGAGTTACTGCTCTTTACCTGTATTTTATCGTCTTAAGAAGGGCTCAAAGACCAGCACTTTTCAGAAACGCTCAGACCTGGCAGAATCCATTCCAGTCTCTGCCTTCCTCAGATCCAGAGGCTGCATCCTGACAGGCAGGCCGGGGCCTTACCTCCACCTGCACTCTGGTGGGGGTGTCCCTGCAGACACTGGCGGGGGCCGTATGCCCCTCCAAAGCAGCTTCTGTCTGCTGCTGGCCACATGGCTTATGTGCCTGCTGAGATGTGGCAGCTGGGGGCTGCTCCCCAAGCCTTGTATTTGTGGTGCTGAGGCTGCTGCTTAGAATGACAACACGTTGGTGTACCCTGCTACCCTGCATTTTTCTTAAAATTTCCAAACCTCAGCAGTGTCAATGAGGAAAAACCTGGGAAGGATACTGGTGCTGGGTGTGTGGCCTTGTGTTGACAGACACCTGTTTCCCTTCTGCATCCTTGGTTACCATGGCTTTGGTGAAGTGGAGATGCATTGGCAAGTCCCCCCAGTGTGAGGACACTGTGTCTAAAGGGGCCCAACAAAAGCAGATGAAACACCTACTCTCATCCCAACCATGAAAGGGTCCCAGTGGCTCACCTGCCTTACACAGATTCCTTAGAAATCAGGATCTCAGCTTAGGTTATTTTACTCCCCAAGTGCTGCATCTTGGGTCTGTATTCATGGTCAGGGTTAGACAGTCATGTGCTGCTACTGCCTTTGGGTTGGCTCAGGGAGGGAGGCCTTGTGAGCAGTGCTGTCCTCAGCGTGCACGGTGCTGCGTGAGAACTGTCCAGAGATGCAGGTGATGAAGATCCTCATCCTTCCACAGAGCTCAGAGTGCAGCAATTCTATAGTGACTGAAGTACATGTTCTAACTTCAGCTGATGCGTCGTGATGCCTCACTCATAACGGTGCTTTCAGTGTCTGTCATGTATTCATTTTGTAAGGTGCTGTATAGATAACTTGACTATATTATGCACATATCCTACCCGATGGGTGGAACAAAAACACTGGTACTGCAATATAATGTACAGGTACCAGATTTAACAGAAATGGCATAGAATTTGTGAATGCCTATGTGCTTTGTCCTCTTTTGTAAGGAAATCTGCGAGTGGATGCATACAGATAAAGGTCTATGTCATTTATTTTCTTATTAAATATTGATATTATAAAAAGGGAAATAAGTGTGAACAAGCTAGCGCAGCCTATGTACAGCAATCAGAGTTGCATCTTTGTTGTGAAAACACTTTTTAAGAAATAAGTTTTTAAAATTCTGTAGCCTTCTGGGGCCACCAGATGCTTATTTTTAATCCCTTCAAGTTGAGTTGGACCAATATTATAGTCAGAAAAAATGCTGATTTTTCAACTTGCTTTATGAAAACATATTCTATCTTACATTGTAGAATGAAGAGGGCAGACCCAGTGAAAAATGCACTTTTCATTAAAATTGCAAAACTTAGGTCAGAGTGAGCACAGTGGCCTGCAGCAAGGATTGTGCAGTCTAGATGCATTTGTGACCATCTGTCTCTCTGTGCCTTTTTGACAAATGGAAGCTGTGAATCATTGAATGAGCAGTAGTGTTTGCAGAAAAGTAACTCTGGACAAACCAGTCCACTTGAGAAGACCCCATTCTCAGAAAAATGTCTGTTACAGGTTATAGTGAGCTGACTGGCAGTTAGTCAGCTGAGTAAAGTCTTATATCCCTTCCCTTTGCTGTCTCCTGGTGATAACTACCCCAGAACCAAACTAGGCTTTGCAATTGACCAGGGACCACGTCATTTCCCCTGACAAAGCATCTACTTCCGGCTCTGTCGATTCTGACAGTGACCTTTGTGTTTATCTTCAAATATTCTAATAGTAAAAAAAGAAAGAAGTGACATTTACTAAAACCACTGATGAAACTGTGGCTGTGGGCCTACTTCCGAGTTCTGTCCATGGAAGTCATTGGTGAAATTCTGCCCATCTGATCCATACTTCCAGTTTAGTCTGTCATCAAAGGATGTCAATTCTAGTTAATTGTTTTTTATTTGTTCTGCGGTATGTGTTCTGATTTGAAAATCACGACGGAATCATACTCTTGTTCACAAAATAAGTACTGACTCTCCTTAAACTGAAAGTGCCTCTGCAGCTCTTGATGGTAACAGACCAGAGGTCAGTCCTTCAGCTCTACTTTTCAGGGGCCACAAGATGATGAGGGTCAGTGTTTTCTGCACCCACAGCCCCTGTGTCTGCTCACTGATAGCAGCAGGGTCCTGGTAGTGCAAGTCAAGGGTGGAGGCTTCTCCTTGTCAGAACCCACCCCCCAAGGCTCTGCCTTTGGGAGGATGCTGAGCAGGATGTTGTCCGAAGCACTAAACCTGGTACACAGCATGGCTTCTTTTCTACAGGACTAATTGAGGCTTAAACTTTACTGTTTAATGATGCTGGTTCATTTTAATGTGCTTGCTCCTGTATTACTATTCATTTCATGGCTTTCAAAAATCATTTTCTGATATAAAAGCTTTTTAAAAATATGTGTAATACTATTAATAGCATTTAGTTCACTTTCACTAGGCTGCTTTATAATGACAAGTACAGCTGTATCTGAACTTTTCAGTAGTCATAGGTTCAATATCATAGTTCACATGACCTGTGATAATCCAACGTCATGAAGTCTTTTTTAAACAGCCATTTGTGCTTGCTGTTCAACATAATTTCCAGTTATAAAGAAAAAGATTTCCAGCTGTTTTGTACCTGCCTTTCTAATTGAGCAATGATACAGTTCCTAGACCCAAGGTCTGTAATCGCAATCCTTAAAGGACAATGATGCTCTAGTGCTGTGTGTTACGAAATCAGCCCTTTCAGTTTTTAATGCTGTGGTTGAATTGCAGCTTAAAATCATTAAAAATAATCAGTAATACATGTGTCTCTTTTTTTTTTTTTACAAAAAATCTTTCACAATATATATTGGCCGTGGGTGGTGGGGACTGTCAGCACTTAGAAAATCGTCTCAGAAATGTTTCTTATGCTTCCCACATGACCATCTTATTCGGTTATTATTCTGACTTTTCAGAAATCATTACTTTCTGCTATAAACAACACGGGCAGATCACATCATACAGTTCTGGTTTCTACACAGAACATTCAGGGATTGTCACCTGACAGGTGTCACTTCAGGCTTCTGGTGAATGAAACTAATAGGAACTGTTCAGCAGATGCCCTTAGAGGCTGAGGTCATTTGTATCAGAAGTTTTCAGTTCATGATGATGGAGCAAAAGGGATTCAAGATTCCTTCATTGAGAGATGAATGATAACTCTAAGAGAATGATAACTCTAAGCTCCAAGTAAGTACACAGATTCACAGATCACATGATTGAGAATGTATAAAACCTCATACAATCCATCAAAAGTGAAGTGTAAATGTTAGTCGTTCAGTTGTGTCCAACTTTTTGAGACACATGGACTGTGGCCCACCAGGCTCCTCTGTCCATAGACTTCTTCGAGCAAGAATATTTAAGTGCATATAACTGAGTTTAGTTTGATTGCAGGGAAAAAAATTAATATAAAAAATTAATATATTTTTGCATTTCTATACATTAGTAAATGAACTTTGGAAAATGAAATCTTAAAATACCACTTAAATAACTGCCTGGGCACAAATCTCTAGTTATAAACCCATTTTTGTTTTGGTCACACCATGTGGGTTGCAGGATCTTCGTGCTATTGAATACATTTTATAATCTCTTACTCAGCAGTTATTTAAGAAAATTTAAAGCCTTTTCCCCAAACTTCTATTCCTCAGTGAAGTAAGACCAGTATATAAACTTTGCTCACAGTTGGGCTTGATTCTTACTGGGTTGGGTTCAGTAAACCCATTTCTATGTGAGGTTGCCTGGGTCTAAGGTCTGAGTGCAGGGAGGTTACCTCGAGCTGCTCCAGAGGTGGCAAGAGATGGTCAGAGTGGGCCCATTGGTGTCCATCTAGGCAGCAGGGCTCTGCGTAGCCCTGAGGAACAAGGGGCTGTGCTGGAGGACAGCAGGCGGGAGGGACGCTGATCTCCATCGTCAAGGGCCTGTGGGACCCCTTCCTGCAGCCCTGGCTGGCTATGCATTGAAAGACTGAAGATTACAGAAGCCCCAGGCCGAAAGCAGACAAGAGGATGGAAAGCTGCTAGGGGCCTAGGAGCTGTCTGTTGGGCTGGAGCTGAAGCACTGGAGGCCAAGGAACCCCACATGGGTTCTTCAAAGCCCAGGTACTGCCTGCTGCCTGGCCAGGGAAGGAAATGCCAAGGTCTGGACCTGCCATCTTCCACTCGGGCTACACTTAGCACAAGATGTGACAGAGCCCAACACCTCCCTCCTTGGTGGGCAATGGGCTCCTTCCCCCCTCCCCCCGCCACACACACATGGGGAGCTCCCACTGCACTTTGGGGGCTGTACTGGACCCCAGACCCACCCCCACCCCCCAGTCTCTGGCTTTCTTGGACCGACTTCTGTTCATTGGGTTGTTTGTGATACAGCAGAGCTGCCAACTGCTAAGCAAATGGACTAGCAACTCAGGCAGCCCTCTCACTGAACCTTCGGGAGACATCTTTAAAAAAAAAAAGGTGTGCTTGAGAAACCTCCAGAACCTTCAGTGATCCACTCACGGTGGCCTTGGAACAGGCACTCTGACTCTCCATGATGACACTTGTACATAACAGTTTATAACAAACCTGTTACTTAAAACATCATAGTTAAAGATCTTTCATTATAGTGTTTTGACATTTTGCTTTGAAAGAGCTAGATGTATCTAATAGTCTCTTTTCTTTATATACCTCTTCTACCCAAACTGTTAAGATCTTTGTAAAATTCCTGGAATTACCTCCTAATATTACTGAAATAAGACAGCCAATAGCTTCATATCTCACTGGAGCATAAAGGACTATAGTAACATCTTCCGTCCATAAATAAACAGAAGGTAGATTCTAAAACAAACTAAAGACTATATTTGAAGGCATAGTCTTATTATTTTCACTAGTGGCAGGAAGGTGACCTTAATATATGTACTCTTTCCTTTGTTGGAAGCTGCAAACAGCACCCTGCTATATGCAAAATGTTGATTCAGTTAAAAAAAATAAAATTGATACTTTAAAAGGTTGGTTTCACTATTTTTCTTGAATGGTCTCTTTTTTTTTAACCTAATCTGTTTTTTGTTTCAATCGTTAATTTGTTGAGCACTTTTTTCCATTTTGTAGACGTTAAGTCTCAGCCATGACTCCTCCTTTACCTTGTCAGCAATCCTACTTAAAAACAGATGCACACACCAGACACAGCAAGTTTAGGCTTACTGTAAATGAAATGGGTCGTGATACTTACCCCACATACACATTCTGGATAATTTAACTCAGTGCCCACTATGTGTGCTACTGGCCTGCTACAAACACTCCATATAGACACTCCAGGGGTCCCCCTTTCGGCTCTCTGTAGCTTCCCTTAAGGACTAGGTTGGCAAGATAAGAGCAGAAGTGTTTGACAAGATCAAGTAATCCTGATACCAAATATGATAAAAGAACTTCTTATACCTTCAGAGAACATTTTACTAGAGAATTTCAAAGCACTCCCCAGCATCTCACTTTCTGTAATTGAACAAACACAACAGAGTTATGAAACTGGATGGCAGCAGATCTCCAATGGACTGAACCAAAGGTGGAAACGCAGCTTCTTAGACCCACGATTTATCCTCATTGGAAAACATGCCCTATGCAGCGTGAAAAGTAAAAAGAAAGTTTCATTTAACACATGATTTTTAAACCAGGCAGTCTCAGTGACTAAAAATAAACAAGAAATTTGTTAATATCTATCTCAGTATTTAACATTCACAAGATAAGAATTATTTAATAAGTTAAAACAGGTTTACTGTTTCTGGATTTGAAAAAGGGCTGTGAATTTGGAATCACACGTTTGATATGCATTAGCAGATAAATCATCCTGCCTGATGAACCCTGCGTGTGGCAGAGTGAGTTCTGCCCCTTCATACTCTGCCCTCCCCGACCAAGAAGAGAGTTACCACAGCATATCCAACACAAGAGACATATCAAATGTAAACACTTTTTTTCCCTTCAAAATATTCTCTAAATTTGGCCACTTTGGCACACAAAGTGACGGTGATGCCTGTGGGACTATTTCTGGCAATCCCTCTGGCATCCTCTTACTGAATCAGATCACTCACAACAGACAAGCTACAAAAGAGGCCGTTCCCACTTTCAATTCTAAGGTTAGAACTGGAGTAAAGGCAGTCAGAGCAAAAGGAATCACACTCACTTAGATGTGACAACTTTCTCATCTAATGATGACTGAATTTCATTTGAAGCTGGTTTTAATGAAAGCTTTGCTATTTAAAAAAAATTAAGTAAAATGTTCAAGTAAGAATGTTTCAATGCAAGGAGCAAACAGTGTTTACAGTCTTAAATGATACTCCATAATGGAATCAAGCCTGACTCTGGCAGGTGGAGACCAGATGGCAGGGACAGGAAGGTCCCACACTCCCAGAACTGCACTGCTGAGAACACAAGCTCCAGGCACTGCTGTGGGCATTTGATCCCCACTATAAACTTCAGGTATAATGATTTCTCTTTTCCTCTGAGAGATCAGCTGGAGAGGACATGATGTATGAATAACAAGAGTTTTATGTGCTGGGTGACAAAGTGCTATGGCCACATAGATTTGCTTAAAAATTTGATTATGGCAAGCTTCAGGTAAAAGTCATTTTTAAATGGTCAATTTTTCATTTACATGTAACCATACATCTTATTTACATATATATATATATATATGACTCAACTTTCATTCAGCTTTCTTCATTTGAAGTCTACATTTTAACTGGTATGTAACCATTATATAGTCTTCACAGAAGGACTACATATCCTCACAGTCACAGGCAGTTCTGATGATAATCCTTTGTCTCCATATTGAGAACTGAACACAGTTAAAGCCTCAGTGAATAATAAAGATGAAGATCCAGTGTTAAATCTGCTTACAGCCACACCAGCTATTCAAGGAGTCAGCAGCTGCAACTAAGTCCAAAGCAAGGATGACTGAAGACACGGACCACTGCTTAATGCTGCTACTGCCATGAATTCTTATAGTGCTTCTTATACTGGGTTCATTTTTTCTTTTCAAAAAACTGATTTTTCTAGTAATGTTTAAAGTTATCTCAGTTCTTTAACTCAAGAGAACTGCTATATTTAGGCTGCTAACCAAAAAAAAAAAAAAATCAAGAGCATGTACCTTTGTCCATAGTCTCCAAAGGTTCAAGTGCAAGAGCTGTCTAAAACCTGGTATATAAGGCACCCTATTCCACTTTTTTCTTAAGAGAAACCTTTCCTTTGGTTTCTTGCAGTTTTTCAGTGAGTCTGTCCTTTGTCTCCTCCATCTTCTCTGTGAGGAGCTCCTTTGTTTCCTCCATCTTGTCTTGCAGGTACTCCTTCACGGGGGGTGGCGTCGACATGTAGCCCCGGCTACGCAGATACTTCACAGTGAAGGAGGTCCCCCCCAGGGTTACAGTGTACCGTGCAGGCGTTGCAATCTGCAGGAAAACAAGACAGTTTAGTACTGATTATAACTACCATCTTAAGCAAAAACTGGCTGGCTCAGTGGTAAAGACTCTGCCTGCGATGCAGGTGATGCAGGTTCCACATCTCTGTGTCAGGAAGATCCCCTGGAGGAGGAAATGGCAACCCACTCCAGTATTCTTGCTGAGACAATCCCATGGACAGAGGTGCCTGGTGGGCCACATAGTCCATGGGCTTGCAGAGAGTCAGACACTATTGAGCACACATAAGCAAAAACAGTGTGAAATTAAAACTCTTGGTAATAACTATCAATTACTTTATTGCTTCACAAGGCTAACATAGTTACATGCTATATGGTTTTCCCTAACATTCCATAAGTATTTGTCACCTAGACACTGACCCAGGATCAGAGAACATACACAGTAGCAGCACCGAAGTTTGTACTCACATGCTAATGAACCTGGGGGACAGGAGCCCTGAAAATAAGTGAGGGCTCAGGACCCTCCGACAACAAAGGCATATGTATTTCCAGTCTCAGAAACCCTGTCAACCTGCACACACTATACCAAACTGAGGGGCAAACATGAGCCAAATGTTTGTTCTTCACGGAGTTTAGTTTCACTTGTAAGTCTCTTTTCTTTAACTTTCCCAGGCTTTATGATACTTAATCATCACATTCCACACTGAGTCTGGAATCCCAACCAGGAACTTTGTGAGGCGAACAAATGGTAAAATGGCACACATGTAGGAGACAGGTACAGGTCAACTGACCAGAGGTTAGTTAGTCCCAAACTAACTAGTAGACTAATTGGTTCAAAGGGAGAACTGTAACAGCAGAGGCTGTATCACATTCTGAGGCAAGGAACCTCCCTATCTGATGTTCTACCTGAGAAGTCAGGTTACAGGAAACACCCAAGTGGACAATTCACACCTCCCTCCTCCCAGAGGAACGTGAGTAGAGCCATTGCTGACATCAGCCCACCTGTGTGCCAGCCTCGTGTTTCAATTCTAAGCAGACCAACAGGCACTGAGCACTGATGTTCCTTCAGAGCACAGCACTAGCACAGTGGAAACGCAGAGGAAGAAGACAGAACTCTGAATTCCTAGGCACTCATGAGCAAAGACAACAGACATTCAGAAAAGAAGAAATACACAGACTGTGATATTAGAGTATGGGATAAGAAAGAGTTATAATTAGGGAAATGGTTTAAACCATCAGGACAGCTGGATTTATTAAGGTTAAACTACACAAACTGCAAATAAGTTTTAATGTTGAAAAACTCAGCAATTACGCTTTAGGCCTCTAGTCAAAATTATCATATAAGAAATCTAGTATTTCAGAGGACTTTAATGAGGATTAAAGTACTACTATAAACCCATAATTCTAAGTATTTTTATAACAAAGATAAATTAACATCTAGTTTCCCAATGTTTTCTACCTGGTTTCCTAGAATAAAGCTTTGAAAAACCTCATAATTTTTTGTCAATTGAGAAAAATTAGATTAATATAGCTAAACTCCACAATTTACAATGAGTCTTCCAAAATAACCACAAGTATAAAAACTATCTATTTACAAAGATGTCATTGTCTGAATCTAGACAATAGTTGTAAAGATAATGAACAAATGAAATATATGTAACATCAACAACTAAATCTAAGGTTTATCACATAAGTCAGTTTGATTTAAATTTTTTTATTTTACTTTTTAGGAAGATGCACTATTATAAATAGTAAAATAAATGCTAAATTTCACTAATATGTCAGGTGGCATATGGATCTCTGAATAAGGAAAATTAATGTACTGTCAATAGGAGAAATGTCAGAAATGACCTGCTTGCTAGAAACTCAGAAGTCTCACATGTGTCTCAGCAGAGCAGGCTATGAACAACCTACCTATTCTTAGGGCACTTCTTCTTAAGCCATCATTTTATTTACCCTTAAAAAATGTATACTTTACTTTTAGTCATTAGACATGTAAGAGATGAAATACACTAAGTTATAAAGGTAAGCCTGGGAACAGGCAGGGAGTGTTATGGAGGTTCAGTGTGAGGAGCCATCCACCCACAGCAGTACCTACCTTAAACAGGGCATATGCTGTTAGTGCATTTCCACTCTGGGAATTTTTCAGAATGTTCACTATACTGTCAGGTAACCCAATAAGTTCTAGAAAAGGAACGACATTCACTCCTCTAAGAAAGAAACAGAAAGTAATTTATATGTATATAAACTTTTGGGGGTAATTATTTTCAAAAGATTACCTGAAAACATCAAAACCAAATTTTGTTTAATAGTCAGTTCTGCATCACCAAGCATACACTAACTCCACTCTAAGGAACAACGTGCATGAAGACCAGCATCCCACTGTCCACAGCTTCTGCTCAGGGACATCCCTCATTAGCACAGTGAGAAAAGTAGAATGATTTATCAGAGCAACATTAATAGCACTAGGTAACGTGAGGAAAAAGGATCAGAATCATTCACCTGATCTTGGAATCTTTAGTTCCTTAGAATGATCCAACTCAAACTTTTAAGACCTAATATTTTTATCTCTAAAATTACATGTCAAACGATACTATTACCATAAAAGCAAGGGATATTATAACATCACTTACTGTGTTATTATGCAAAGAATAAATGATTCTATGGATTTGATAAAATGTCAATGATTCTAAAAAGATGCTTCTGCTATCAGGCTCAAAAGGCACCTGAAGAAGCAACTGCCATAAACTGCAAGAAATTTTTGAAGGGAGGGAGAGAAAGTAGATATAGTCTTTCATCTAGCTGGTAAACCCTAATTGCTTTTTAGTTTCCCTGAGTGTGGAGTCTGCCACGCTGACATATTTGTGCTCTCCTGCTCTCTCCCTCACTATCCATACTGGGTTGGCCAAATGTTTCCAAAACATTGCAGAAAAACCCAAATGAACTTTCCGGCCAACCCAACAGTTTCGCTTTCACCCCTAAATCACAAGGTTCTCATTCTGTGCTTCTCCTTCATAAGCACAATCATCACAAGAAACTTAACATATAGGATAGTATATAGTTAATACAACAGTACGTTATTTAATGTTAAAATTCCCTGTATTGTCCCACGTCCCTTGTCACTATCTTCTCCATGTTTTCCAGCTTTTCTCCAGAAGTGCTACCCAGCATATTCTGTTGAGGAGGAAGGCAGGATGTCTTTTTTTGACGCTGAGACTTTTGAAGCTCCTGGGCCAGTTGTGTGGTACAACAGCCCCCTCCACTTGAATTTGCCTGATTGTTTCCTCATGATTAGATTTGGGGTAAATGTTTCCTGACAAGAAAGCTGCAGAACTGATTCTGTGCCGTCAGAGCATCACAGCAGGAGCCCCAGGATCAGTCAGTCCCATCACTGATGTGAGTCTGACTTGTGGTTAAAGTCTGGTCCACAGGTTACTCCTCTGCACAAGTACTCTTGCTCTTTATAGTAAAGAAAGGGAATAGCCTGGATTCATTATTGTTATAGTGGTTATAATCTCCTAGTTTATTTTTAACATTAAAGATTAATTTGATTAACTGGGAAGTTGTCCCTCTCTGATCTCACTATATAATACTAGGAGATCAGAGAACTTTTCCCAGCTAAAATCAAATCAGATAAACCCAGCATCTAGTTGGTTGAATTGAAAACCTCTATTTAACACAACTCCAACATTACAATAAAATCATCTCGCAGTCAAAGATTACACAGTAAGATTTAATGCCATTCCAACATACACTAATATTTTCTAAGTATGACTTCCCTTAGAACAAACGGACTTTTAATTTCTCAAGTGTTAAGGATCTAACAAAAACATTAGGGACTGTTCTGGAAAGCAACATATCCTACCTAATATAACTGAGCTATGTGATGCTGTAACAGAACTGGACCAGCAGTCATGGCTGGGCAATAGAGCTGGGTCTGGCAACCAAATTTCCATGCTGACAGAAAGCCAAAGGTAGGTGGTGGTGGATAAGGCATAGGACTTTAAAGCCTAATTAATTAACAACACCAGATTATTTGAGGGTCTAATTTTTTGGTTACAGAACTCTGTTACAGAAGGCAAGGAAAAATAAACGGGAAAAAAGTCCTCTTAATAGTCCAAATAAGAATCTCATATTCAATTAATTAAAAATTGAACTTTCTCCCCCTCAGGTCAGGAGGCTGCATGCTTATTGAAAACAACCTAGGGAAGGCAAAACAAATAAGGAAGAAACTCATTATCAGTCACAAAACCAAATCAGAAAAATCCTCAATGGCTCCAAAAAGAAAATTTGGTATGTAGAAAGCCATTCATTAAATAGAAGAAATGAATGTCTATGAAATTTTTATGTAAAATGGTACACAATTTTAGGCTCCATTAAAAAACTAACAGCAGTTCTGAAGATTTCTATATTACAAATGTCCAGAAAATGTCATTAATAAACAAAAAGGTAACTCCATAAAATGCACATACAAAACCTCTGCAAAGAAAGGAACAATTCTTAAAGAAAATGATACATAATGAAGAAGGAAGTAACTGAGTAACAAGAACAAAATGCAGAGAAAGTAAAAGAAACAAAACAGTATCAATCACACAGGTTAAAAATAATCCTTTTTAGAACACTGGCAAAGAAACATTTCTAGACTTGTGTTTCCTAAGAATAGTCTCCATTCCATCATCTTTTAATTTAGTAAAGTATAAGCTCTTTCCAACAAGTGAGCTTTATATTATAATACTTAATACCTATCAAACATTAACTATAACCCAAAACTGAAAAATCAGCAGTCTTTTGGAAAGTATAGAATAATTCTAAACCCACTAGGGGAGTTCACGAAAACATCAAAATGGTCTTCACTGTGCATCTCATCGCCTGCAGGATGATGAGCATCCTGCCCGCTTGGTCACACCCAGGCCATAGCAAGAAAAGCCACACAGCACTCAGGGAATAGGCATACATTGGCACACCCAGTTCTGCTGGTGGCAGAAACAAACTGGAAATCATAGGGAATCTGGTTGTACATGAAACTCCTGCTCCTAAACAGTGTGAATAACACAACTCACTTTAAAAGAAAGGAAAGGTATTTATCAAGAAAGGTATATTTAGAAATTCTATATTTTAAGTGCACAACAAATCAACTTCTGATCAGAACAAAAGACCTTACCTTGACATTCATCAGATGTAACATTAAGGTATAAGTCTGTAACTTGTTCATTTTTGTGTCTATGACAGATGCAAGTCAAGCTTTGTAAAAATCTTACTAATTTCCAACCAAAATCATGCACGTGGCAAAATAAGTTCTTTTCACAGTGATTAGCACTTTTAGCAATATCTTATTTAAGTACAAAGCTAACTTATGGTGCTGTCAAATTTCTGGAATCGGTTATTTTATTTCTGTGCTATCCTAGATGCTGATGTGTCTGTCATGAGCACAGTGATTAAGATTTGAAATCAGGGAGGGGGGACCGGGACAGGGAATACATGTAAATCCATGGCTAATTCATTTCAGTGTATGACAAAAACCACTGCAATGTTGTAAAGTAATTAGCCTCCAACTAATAAAAATAAATGGAAAAAAAAAAAAAAAGATCTGAAATCAGACTGAGTTATTTTGGGGAAAAACTAAGGTATTTTGACTTATTCTTGTTTAATCTGCTCTCTTAATAAGAGGAATAATTACACTACCTACTTCATATGGTTGCTATGAGAATTAAATAAGATGATACAGTTACAAAAATTTTTGTATAATAGCTGCTGTACATAGTAAGGAAATGTTAGCTATTGTTATTAAAATGTGGAAAACAGCTATGAAAAACAATCATCCTCTTATCAGTTGAAGACATTAAAGCATTTAAAAACCTATTTAGAGGTTTTCATTAGTATAATTAACATTCTGACAAAACATGCTCAATCAAGCAAAAACTTACTTTATGGCTGCATAGTAAAATGTTCCAAACCAAACAGCAGAAGTTATTAGATGCACTGGAATCAAAACTTTTCCATATTGTCTAAATGTTTTCTTAAATCGTTGATAAAGACTAATAGATCTGTCTTGTAACGGATCAGGTTCTTCCTTTTTTTCGGAGGGATGTCCTGAGGATGTGGCACTGGATGACAGAACTCTCTTGGATAAGATATCCTGCTCCCACTGTTTATGGTGAAAGACCCCTGGTTGGGATGGAACAGTAATGAATGGCTTCCTTTCCTTTGCAACACACTGGGCAGTGGGTAAGTGCAGCCACCGTTTCTGAGGGCCCTGTACCACAACCACTCTGGATTCCGGGGTATACAAAAGTAATGGTCCCTTTATGTTTTGACAGTGTCCCAAAAGACCGGCTTTATGTGGTTCCATGCACGTCCTATGTGCCAGTCGGAATACAGTCTTTGGTACATTCCATTGCATTTTGAAGAATGGAGATTGATGGACCTCAGCTTCTATAGACACTAGATTTAAAAAAAAATAGATTATACATAGATTTCCACTGTAAACCAATCCACTTAAACATAAATTGTTAACTCTTAGGAAGTTAAAAGACAGACACTATTACCAAATCCATAGAAATTAATGTTAACGTATATAGTTCTAATACATCACAATTTTTAAATTTCATTAAAACACATCATTTAAATATGATACAGTAAACCACTGCAGCAGACATCATGAAGAGTAAGGTTTCAGGGCTGTTTTATTGCTACAAAAGGGGTATCTTTAGGGCTTCTCTCATTCTACAAAGTAGTGTAATATAACGGGACAATCATATCTGTAAGTAAAAGAGCTGGGCTGTAATGTTTTGGGGTCATAATTCTGTGCAATTATCTCTTAGACTGGACTTGAGATGGGAATTTCAAGACCTGAATTCATCACTCTCCACATCCCCCTTCTCTGAAAACAGAAGAACCAATCAGTCTCATTATATTTGTTTATTTGGCAAAAATGCTTTAAATCTTCAAATACATGGTCATCCAGAACCTGGTCTTTTGTTAAGTATCTGAGTAGTAGTATCCAGTGGTGATATCTTGCATATCTCTACTGTCCCATCACATCACGGGCAGTGCCCTCTTTACCACTGAAAATAGTGAAGAGTGCTTTTAAGTCTAATCAGATTAGAGCACCAATTCCAGGAACACCATAACCAATTCAGAAAATTCATCCTTACAATTCTGTTCCTTTAGAACCACTCTTAGGACCAAAATTTGAATCAGAAGGGTTCTCCAGAGATATTGAAGCAACAGGAAAGAAACACAGATGTTTATCTACCTATCTCTATAGGGCTTCCCAGGTGGCCAAGTGGTAAAGAACCTGGCCTGCCAATGCAGGAGACACAGAGATGTAGGTTCGATCCCTGGGTTGGCAAGGTCCCCTGAAGGAGGAAATGGCAACCCAGTCCAGTATTCTTGCCTGGAGAATTCCATGGACAGAGAAACCTGGTAGGCTTCAGTCCATAGGGTCACACAGAGTCAGATATGACTGAAGCGACTTAACAGGCATGCACCTATCTTTTGGCTTATCTCTATCTAGATAGATATTTCTATCTATTGGGTATCTATTATAAGGTTGTTTAAATAGATACATGTTTATGTTAAGGAATTGGCTCACACAATTGTGGGGGCTACACATTTGATATGTGTCAGGTAGATTTGCAGGCTGGAAACTCAGACAAGAACTGATGCTACAGTCTTGAGACATTTTTTCTTCTTGAGATGCCTCAGTTTGAAATTTAGACTGAAGGAGGCCCACCCACATTATGGAGGGTAATCTCCTTTACTTAAAGACAGTTGATTAGATGTTAACAGATTTTCAAAATACCATCAAAACAACACCTATATTAGTGTTTGATTAAATAACTATGCTTTTGAACTGTGGTCTTGGAGAAGATTCTTAGAATCCCTTGGACTGCAAGGAGATCCAACCAGTCAATCCTAAAGGAAATCAGTCCTGAATATTCATTAGAAGGATTGATGCTGAAGCTGAAACTCCAGGGGTCAAAGCCATGTCTATGGCAGCTTCTTTACTAATGAACCACCAGGGAAGCCATCCATAACCAGGTCTAGTTGACAAAGCTACTCATCACACATACAAGCTTATAGATTTCTCAACCAAATCTTTACTTTCTACTATAGTAAAAACCTTTTAAACAATTGATATCTTATGTGCTCAAAAAAAGGAAATAAAATTTCAGTAGGGACACTTTGGTTGAGTGAACTGGAGGAATGAACAGTTCTTCCAAAACTGTCTAGAGAAACACACCTTCCACAACCACCTCTTTTTCCTACCCCAAGAACAGTATCATTCCTGGGAAACTGTAACATTGTATCTACATTTTAAAAACAATTTTTATGTTTCAAAAAATGTGATCTTCAACCCTACAATAGAAATGACACCTTAAAATTACACACCTCTGAGTACTCTCACTTTAAGGGATGGTATCTACGGAATTTGTTGCTTGCCTTTGACCAGAGAACTTAAAGTTACCACTACATTTTTCTCTCATCAGAAAAAGTGAAAGTGAAGCCACTCAGTCGTGTCCGACTCTTTGCGACCCCATGGACTGTAGCCTACCACGCTCCTCTGTCCATGGGATTTTCCAGGCAAGAACACTGGAGTGGGCTGCCATTGCCTTCCCCAGGGGATCTTCCCGTGGGCTTCCCTTGTGGTTCAGGTGGTAAAAGAATCCCCCTGCAATGTGGGAGACCTGGGTTCGATCCCCGGGTTGGGAAGATCCCCTGGAGAAGGGAAAAGCTACCCACTCCAGTATTCTGGCCTAGAGAATTCAGTCCATGGGGTCACAAAGAGTCAGCGGACAAAAGTCTAATACAAAACAGGAGAATTGCAAACCAGTCTGGGTGAATGGACCAAATAATCAAAACAGCACATAAAGAAATGTTATAAATGGGTTGAAATAAATCCTGTATGTCCTTTCAAAAAAAAAAAAAAGAGATTTTGGAAAATCTTTCTAGGTGATTCATACATCCATAACCATCCCACTATGTGCCAGGCACTGTTCAAGGCACCTGGGTTAAATCACTGGACAAAATGATGATCCCTGTCTTGCTAGAGTGCACATGCTAGCAAGACAACATCTATCCAGCTATTTTCTCTCTGAACATAATAACCCAAGCATTATGAAGTATCAAAACATTTTCTGAAAATCTACTATGTGCCAGGTAACTTCCAGTTCTGAGTCTGGCCTTAAAGAGGCACTGTTTCATTATTAGCACAGTACAGTCTCTGGGCTTTCCACGTGGCTCAGTGATAAAAGAATCTGCCTGCCAAGGCAGGAGTTGCAAGAGACCCTGATTTCACACCTGGGTCTGGAAGATCCCCTGGAGAAGGAAAGGGCAATCCAATCCACTCCAGTATTCTTGCCTGGAGAATCCCATGAACAGAGGAGCCTGGTGGGTTTCAGTCCAAGTGTCGCAAAGAGTGGAATATGACTGAGCATGCACAGTCCATGGTCTCTGGAGTCAGGCTGCTTGGATCCAAAACCTAGCCCACTACTACTTCCCAGCTGCATGACCTTGGGCAAGTTACTTACCACTCATCTATAAAACAAAATAATCATAACAACTATCCCACTAGATCATGTACAAGTTAAAAATGAATTCAAATATATAAAAGTACTAAAATGTACTACCAGACTATCAGCTATTACTATTTTAATTCGATTTCCAGAAAAGCAGTTATTACTTAGGCAATAGTGGGGAAAAATAACATCAATGGTAACTTTTTTTAATCTAGCTCATTTACTCCCTCCCTGGAGTAGGAAATGGCAGCCCATTCCAGTATTCTTGATGGGAAATCCCATAGATAGAGAAGCCTGGTGGGCTGCAATCCATGGGGTCACAAAAGAGTCAGACATGACTAAGTTACTTACTAAACAGTAAGTTACTCCCTCCATCTCTACTATCCTCAAGAGTTCTTCCTGTTCTTGAAACCAATGGGTAATCGTTAAATTCATTTCACCTATAACCTGCCTTACACCACTTTCCAGTCACCTTTCTCTACACTCCCCCTGTCATCTCAGAGTGCCCTACTTCTTTATTCTTTATCCCATAAATACCCAGAGCCCTTCACCTTAGGGTGAAAAGTTAAAGTCGCTCAGTTGTGTCCGACTCTGCGACCCCATTAACTGTAGCCTGCCAGGCTCCTCTGTCCATGGAATTCTCCAGGCAGGAATACTGGAGTGGGTAGCCATTGCCTTCTCCAGGGGGATCTTCCCAACCCAGGAACTGAACCCAGGTCTCCTGCACTGCAGGCAGATTCTTTATCATCTGAGCCACCAGGTAGGCCCCTATATATCTTATGCACAACAATTCATGGTAAAGTCTAGGTAATATAGTTAGGAGGCTTTTAATCTAATGAGAAAATTTCTTAAGTCAAAATTAGACTCATTTTCTGTAAAATTACAGTAGCAATTCTCTTAAGAAACTTTATTAGCATCAGAAGCCACAAATACGGATATGTAATTACACAGTTCTAAATGCATGAATATGTAGATAGCACAATCTCCAGCACTATACCTTTGCTTTAGGTGGAGAGCAAAAAATCTACTATAAAAATTAAGGATCAAAAAAATAAGGATCAAAGTAAGAATATGCCATGTGGAAAAACCTATTTCCCCAATGTGCTGTGCAAAGTAACAAGTACTTTTAAATTACAGTTTAAGTGAAAAAGTGAAAGTGTTATTTGCTCAGTCGTGTCGGATTCTTTGTGACTCCTCTGAGTGTAGGCCAGACTTCTCTGTCCACGGAGTTCTCCAGGCAACAAAAGACACATTTTGTTTGTCATAGTGATTTTTTACAGATGTCAGCGGTGGCAGGCCATTAATTTATGTTTGGAAAAATAAGCAAGATGTTTAGTTGAATTTTTAGGTTTGATACTTAAACTTTCTTGGAAGGATCACTGTATGTTTTATGAATGGAGTATTTACAAACATACTCAAAGTAACCTTGTGATATAAGGACAGTAATGATCTAAAAGGTGCATGCATCACTACAGTAATAAAAACAACCAACTTCGAAAAAAAATGAACTGAAGTTAATTTTCAACTTAGCTCACTGCATATAATAAAAAAAAATTACAAGTACAGTCATCGGAAATTGATGGCTCATCCTCATTTGTTAAAAACAGGCTTCGTTCTTGGGCCAAAGTTTATAAAGAGTCAACAACCTCAGAAAGGTTAAAGCCCACAATTTAGAAGTGACTGGATTCTAAAGTACATGCTGCAGACACTGCTTGCTTTCCCCCAAGCGAAGTCTACCGGCTGCTGTAACTGCGCCTACTGACAGGTATGCAGGCTAGCACCCCTATTTCCACAGCTGCTTTTAAAGGATTCAAGTTTGGTAACGAAGAATAGAAGACATGTTTCTGATCACGTCTTTACACCATCTCGGTGGAAGGTGCTGAGGCGCAACGCGTCAACCACCTTAGTTCACAGGCACAGTTTTGACCCTAGCGTAGGGGGTGGAAAGCAGGAACGTGCGACACTCCGGTGGAAATTTGGGGGGAGAGGATGAACCAAAAGAGCTGACTCCCCAGCCACCCCATACCAAAGTCCAGCCAACAGATACTATCATTGAAGCGTTTCTCAAAAAATTGTATGGGCTGTCCCGCTCCTTCAGAGGCTGACCGAGCACGGCCCTCTCGAGGGAAGTCTGGCCAGAACTTCCAAGTGCGGCGGAACGGAGCGACCCGCGAGGCAGCGAGAAGCTGGACGCCGCGCGCTTCCAAGGCAAGTCCGAGCTCGGGGGCTCCCGGCCCCTCCCGGCCGGCATCCGAGGAAGGGCAGACCAAAGGCTGGAAAACCGCCCCACGGACAGGGTTAGCACGACCCGGGCCTCTGCGAAGGGCGGGGTGACCTCTGTCCGCCGCCCAGGGGCGCTCGCGCCGCGCATCACGCTGAAGAGGCCCCGCCGACCGCCCCGCCCCCAGAGGCCTCAACCCCCGTTACCTCAGGACCTGAGGCCGCCGTGCAGCCCGGAGGAGCCGCTCGGAGACCCTCTCCGCGTCACTCCTCAGAGCGACCAGCAGAACGTGGGTCTGGCCGCCGGAAGCCGTGGGCTCAGGCGACCAGCCTCCCACCCGCCCGCCACGCCGTCCCTCCAACCACGTTCTTGCGTCCCTTCGAGCCGTCGCCCTCCGCAAGCCGCGCGCGGCACGCCGGGACTCGGGATTCCGGGCCAAGCGACCTGCGCTCTCCGGAAGTGGCGTCATAGCGCGCGCGTGGCGTGGCGCAGCTTCCGCAAACAAGAGTCGCGGATGGCTGGAAGGTAAGTGTGGGGTCGCAGAGCTGGGCTCCGTCTTCTTTGTGTGTAGCCGTGGCTGCTGTGGTGGAAGGGGCATTCCAACCATTGGCTGTGCCGCTTCGGCGGGTGCTGACGCGCCTCTCTTCGGAGCCAGCCGGGTTTCGAGAGGTCCGAGAGCCGCTTCAGGCCCGGCCGTCTGTCAGAGAGGCCGGCCGCCTGCTCTGCGTGGTGGGCCGGAACCTCAACCGGGCCGCGCCAGGGCGGCTCAGTGCGTCCTCGGGCCCGAGGACACCACTGCCCCACGGTGGGTCCGGCGTGGAGCTCACCTGCTTGAGTTCCAGCCCTCGGCCTGGTGATTCCTGAGAAACCTCGGGTGTGACTGCTTCGCAGATCACCAAGATGCAGGTTTGGTCGTTTATACGCCTTCTTGTACGTGTCGGCCCAGTCCTTCCCTGAGGGTTCCGAGAGGCAACCCTCTTGTGTCGGGACCTAACTCATTACTCAGCTTGGACTCTCACGCTCACAGTCTTATCCATCTGTGGGGTCGTTTGGAAATCTGTGTCATTTATTCTGACCGAATTGTCTGTGGGATGTTTCATTTGTGGAAATGTCTCAGATAAATATAACTTTTATTCTCAATGGTGAATTTAGATATTACATTAGCTAGGGAAAAGTTACATCGTTTTATTTGAAATTAAAGCCATTATTTATTTCCTTATTAAATGATTACTTGATAATCATTTTAAACAGTTATTTAGAAAACTGCATTTCTGGGTAAGTTTTTTCCTCTTTGATTCAATTCTTGTTTTGGCACTTACTGATACTTTGTTACCTCAAACCTTGGATAGTGAAAATTAATAGCCTTTGAAACCCTTCCTGATTTAGAGTGTCTTGTTTTTACCCATTCCATTAAACAAATTTATTTCTTATTCTGTTTCTTTATATGGAACACTTCGTAACTTTCAGGTTCTGAATTTGTGGAATCTCACTAACTTTCCGACTTTTGTTTTTTCTTTTCTGGTTTGACTAATTCAGCCTAACATTTTAAGTTTTGTATCAGTTGTAAACTTCTTGAAGACTGGCCTTCCCTGGTGGCTCAGTGGTAAAGAATTCGCTTGCCAATGCAGGAGACATGCGTTCCATCCCTGATCTGGGAATATCTGTCATACCATAAAGTGGCTAAGCCCCTGTGCCACAACTGTTGAGCCTGTCCTCTGGAGCCAGGGAACCAAAACTAATGAGCCCATGTGCCTCAACTACTGAAGCTTGGGCACCCTGAAGCCCATGCCCCACAACAAGAGAAGCCACTGCAATGAGAAGCCAGTCAACCACAACTAGAGAGTAGCCCCTACTCCCTGCAAAAAAAAAAAAAGCCAGGGGTCCGGGGGGAAGCAACTTCTTGAGGACTAATTCACACAGTGCCTTATTGAGCTTCTCTGTAGTATTTCATTGAACTTGTTGAGTGGCTTAATAAATTCTTGTCCAGTAAATAGCTCATTTATTTTTTCCCCTCCCATTTCATACACAAGCGTGAGAACATTTGAAAGAGACTAAACAGAGGCCTTACAAATAGCTGAAAAAAGAAGAGAAGCGCAAAGCAAAGGAGAAAGGGAAAGATGTACCTAACTGAATACAGTGTCCCAAACAATAGTGAGGACAGATAAGAAAACCTTCGTAAGTGAACAAAGAAAAAGAGGAAGATAATAGAATGGGAAAGACTAGAGATCTCTTCAAGAAAATTAGAGATTCCAAGGGAACACTTCATGGAAAGATGGGCACAGTAAAGGACAGAAAGGCTAAGGACGTAGCAGAGGCACCTAATTAAAAAGAAGTGGCAAGAATACATAGAACTGTATAAAAAAGGTGTTAATGACTCAGATAACCACAGTGATGTGGTTACTAACCTAGAGCCAGACATCCTGGAGCATGAAGTCAGGTAGGCCTTAGGGAAGCATTACTAGAGACAAAGCTAGTGGAGGTGATGGAATTCCAGCTGAGCTCTTTAAAAGATGATGCTGTTTAAGTGTTGCACTCAATATGCCAGCAAATTTGGAAAACTCAGCAGTGGCCACAGGACTGAAAAAGGTCAGTTTTCATTCCAGTCCCAAAGAATGGCAATGTGCAAGAATGTTCAAACTACTGCTCAGTTACTACTCACATGCTAGCAAAGTAGTACTCAAAGTCCTTCAGGCTAAGCTTCAGCAGTTTGTGAACCAAGAACTTCCAGATGTACAAGCTGAATTGAAAAGGCAGAGGAGCCAGAGATCAAATTGCCGATGTCCATTGGGTCATAGAAAAAAGCAAGAGAATTCCGGAAAAATACCTACTTCTGCTTTATTGACTAGGTTAAAGCCTTTGACTGTGTGGATCGAAACAAACTGTGGAAAATTCTTAAAGAGATGGGAATACCAGGCTACCTTACCTGCCTTTCAAGAAACCTGTATGCAGGTCAAGAAGCAACAGTTAAAACTGGACATGAACAACGGACTGGGTCAAAATTGGAACATGAGTACATCAAGGCTGTATATTGTCACCCTAATTTAACTTCTATGCAGTGTACCTCAAGCAAAATGCCAGACTAGATGACTCACAAGCTGGAATCAAGATTGCCAGGAGAAATATCAACAACCTCAGATATGTAGATGATACCCTGATAATGGCAGAAAGCAAAGAGGAGCTAAAAAGCCTCTTGATGAAGGTGAAAGAGGGGAATGAAAAACCTGGCTTAAAACTCAACATTAAAACAAGATCATGGCATCTGGTCCCATCACTTCATGGCAAGTGGGGAAAAAATGGAAACAGTGACAGACTTTATTTTCTTAGGCTCCAAAATCATTGCAGATGGTGACTGCAGCCATGAAATTAAAAGACACACCAGAAAGATAAAGACCAATACAGTATACTAACGCATATATATGGAATTTAGAAAGGTGGTAACGATAACCCTATATGCAAAACAGAAAAAGAGACACAGATGTACAGAACAGAATTTTGGACTCTGTGGGAGAAGGCGAGAGTGGGATGTTTTGAGAGAACAGCATCGAAACATGTATATTATCTAGGGTGAAACAGATCACCAGCCCAGGCTGGATGGGTGAGACAAGTCCTCGGGCCTGGTGCACTGGGAAGACCCAGAGGAATCGGGTGGAGAGGGAGGTGGGAGGGAGAATCAGGCTGGGGAATACATGTAAATCCATGGCTGATTCATGTCAATGTGTGGCAGAAACCACTACAATATTGTAAAGTAATTAGCCTCCAACTAATAAAAATAAATGGAAAAAAATAAAAGACACTTGCTCCTTGGAAGAAAAGCTATAACAAACCTAGACAGCATATTAAAAAGCAGACACATCACTCTGCTGACAAAGGTTCGTCTGGTCAAAGCTACGATTTTTCCAGTAGTCGTGTATGGATGTGAAAGTTGGACCATAAAGAAGTCTGAGTGGCGAAGAATTGATGCCTTCGAACTGTGGTGCTACAGAAGACTCTGGAGAGTTCCTTGGACAGCAAGGAGATCAAACCAGTCAATTCTAAAGGAAATCAACCCTGAATATTCATTGAAAGAACTGATGCTGAAGCTCTGATACTTTGACCACCTAATGTGAAGAGCCTACTCATTGGAAAAGACCCTGATGCTGGGAAAGATGCAGGAGGAGAAGGAGATGACAGAGAATGAGATGGTTGGATGGCATCATCTATTCAATGAACATGAGTTTGAACTCTGGAAGATGGTGAAGGACAGGGAAGCCTGTCCATGGGGTTGCAGAGTTGGACACGACTTAGCGACTGAAAAACAAAAATGGTCATTAAGTAGCAGGCTGTGTCTTGAAACTTGTTTCTACTCTCTTCACTTTCTGTCTGATTCTGACATCCATTGCAAACTAAGGATTTTACTAGTCCCAGACTTTTCCTGCTCTTGGTTTTCAGTGTCCCTAGGCCAAAAGAAATACCTAATAGTTTCCCTAAGTGGTTTAGTCCAAACAATTTAAGTGTGTCCTAACAACTTTATTTTAAAAAATAATACACAGATTGAAAGAAATAGGGTTTAGTTCTTAGTTACCACAAATGCATAGTAGTAGAATGTGTACATCTGTTGAGTACTGGACTTCTCAAGCCTTGAGATTAGATTTGACACCAACTGCGTTTCTTGTTTTACATTGATTTTCTGTGGTACCACCAAAGTCTTAGCTTCACAGGGTTCTATTGTCATTTAAAGAAAAATATAGTGCAAGCTACTCAGTTAAAACTGTGCTCTACTTGATGGTGTATCTGTGATATCTTCTAGGTGTCAGGTATCACTAGGTTTTCATTAAACTTTAAAATACCCTGCTGTGCCCATATGAATTTGTTATAGTGTCCAGCACACATTTTGGGACCCAAGGCTGTAGAGTAAGGGTCAGGATAGAAATGGAACTGACTTCATTTACTGTGATGACTTATGTCAGCTTTAATGTCAGTGGTGACTTTTGTGGATTAGATTGTGGAAGTATTTGGGGATTATAATTAGTACTTCATTAGCATATTTAGAAATTCATATGCAATATGTATCAGTATTGCTTTCAGTATTCTCTAATGAGTTTTTAAAAATTCTTAGTTGATCACTGAAATTAAATGCCAACTTCTGATTTAAATTGCTTTTAAAGTCTCAACATTGTGTTTACAAGTGATATCAAATTTTTACCATTCCAGTGTCAGTTCATGAAGTTTGACTGTCATTTAAGTAATCAAAAATGGAAAATTCTGCAAAAGCAGAAGAACATGAAAAAATCCTTCTTAAAGAAGTAAAAACATCATTAGATTCAGAAACAGAGTCATCATTCATTATTAATGAAAATACAACCTCTCCTGGGACTGATCTTTCTGCAAAGGTTCCTACTTGTGGGCAAGTAAACACACCAAAAAAGAGAAAAATGGAGTTTGAGGATGATCTTGTAAAGGAAAGTTCTAGTTGTGGGGAAGACACTCCACCCAAGAAAAGAAAACTTGATGTTGAAATTGCCCCAGAGGAAAAAGGTTCTGGTGATGATGAAGGCATTTCAAGGAGAAGAATAGAAACTGATGGTTTTCCAAAAGATGAACCTACTGGAGATGGCACTCAGAAAAGGAGAAAAATAGAACTTGAAGATGTTCCTGAAAAGCAAAAGGTATTTTGAATGCATTTTTTAAGATTCATAATAGAATATGTCAGATTGAAATGTGGAGCAGTTATGAAATACCTTTTTTAAAAAACATAATTTTAATAACTTAAGGGTTCTGTTTTTTAAACTTAATTTTTATTTTATATTGGGGTATTGTTGATTTGCAGTATTGTGTTAGTTTCAGGTGTACAGCAGCGTGATTCAGTTATACATATATCTATTCGTTTCCCGTATAGGTTATTGCAGAATGTTGAGTAGAGTCCCCTGTATAGCAGGAAACTTGCAAGGTCCTTGTTGAATGACTATTTTATATACAGTAGTGTGTATATGTTAATCCCAAAGTCCTAATTTACCACTTCCCCGACCTTTCCCCTACCTTTCCCCTTTGGTAACCATAAGTTTGTTTTCAGAGTCTACGAGTTTGTGTCTGTGTTGTAAATGAGTTCAGTTGTATCATTTTTTTTAGATTCCACCTTTAAGTGATATCATATGTTTGTCTTTCTCTGACTGATTTCTCTTAATAATAATCTCTAGCTCCATCCACATTACTGTAGATGGCATTACTTCAGTCTTTTTTGTGGCTGCATAATATTCCATTGTCTACATCTTCTTGACCCATTCTTGTGTCAGTAGACATTTAGGTTGCTTCCCCATCTTTACTATTGTAAAGAGTGCTGCAGTGAACATTGGGGATCATGTATCTTTTCGAATTCTGGTTTTCTTCTGATACATGCCCAGGAGTGGGATTGCTGGATCATATAGGAGCTCTATTTTTAGTTTTTTAAGGAACCTCCATACTGTTCTCCATAGTGGTTGTTCTAATTTACACTCCCACCAACAATGTACAGGGTTCCCTTTTCGCCACACCCTCTCCAGCATTTATATTTGTAGACTTTTTGATAATGGCCATTTTGACCTGTGTGAGGTGATACCTCATTGTACTTTTGATTTTCATTTCTCTTTTATTTAGATAAAACTTCTGCTAATGAGATAATTTTAATCTTATTTTGGAAATCTTGACTAAACACTAGAAAGGGAGTTTTTATAGTTTGCTTTTTTCTTGGTGTTTTCAAAAAGACCAGTGTAAGTTTCAAATGATTTACCTTTTTCCTTTTTAACTAGGTGTTTATCTCTTTTTTGTGTTTGAAGTATTTGAGATTATCACTTAAAATGATAAATTTCTAGATGATACCCAGTTTTACATTTCTTTCTTAATGTAATTCCTTAAACTGTGTTATTTCCACTTTTATTAGTGTAGTTACGTAAAGCCTGGTATTTAACAAGAGTAGTATAAAGCAAGGGATAGCAAATCATTTTCATCTGGGAATACTATTTTGTGATGGGACCTGAAATGGAGTCTGCACTACACAATGAATGCGTAAAATTCTGTTATCACTCCTCAGGAAGAAAGTGGCAGATAAGCCAGGTGTTTGTCATTGGTGGATTGCAAACCTTTGTAATAGAGAGAAGCTTGTATTGTAAACATAGTTTTCAAACTTTTACTAGCAGTGGAAACCTTTTTTCAAAGGAAAATCTTCAACCTTTTACCTATTTTACATACCAGATGAGACACTTTGGTTGAACAGAAAGTGGGGGTATTTGAGGCCCTTTACTTACCTGGCATTTTTGCAGAATGCTTAAGATCTTAGAGAGTACAAGTTGAAATTTGAGTTAGGTTAATAGCAGATAATAGAAATCACTGACACCAAATGTAGACTGTTGCGTTCCCATCTCTCTGTGAATATTAGCTCATGTAATGCCCACAATAATTTTATAATAATATAGTAAGTATATTATTTCCATTTTATTTTCTTGTAGGAACTTCATTCACTACTGACATTTACTGAACTGAATAAATCAGAACTCTGGAAATATACTGGTTTTATTAACACATTAACACCATAATTCTATAGATGAAAATTTCTTAAGAGATGTTTTTTAAAATAGGGAGCAGGGGAAAATCTTTCATGTGATTATAATTAGTGGAATTTCTGTGATTCTACTCCAACTTAATGAAGTATACCGATCTCAGTAGTATTTTATCCATATATAGGTCAGATGCTCTTTTAGACTTATTTGTTTCATGTTCAGCTTCTTAATTTTATGCCATTCTTATATTTTCAGAACTTGGAAGAAGGACACAGCTCAGCAGTGGCTGCTCACTACAATGAACTCCAGGAAGTTGGTTTGGAGAAGCGTAGCCAAAGTAGAATTTTTTACCTAAGAAATTTTAATAATTGGATGAAAAGTGTCCTCATTGGTGTGTTTGTTTTTTGATTTACAGTTTTGAATTTTTAATTTCAGCTTATGTTTCATTTTTTTCTCCCTAAGTGGTTAATCATACACAAAGTGACAAAGTCTTTAGTTACTGTTCATTTAATCATCAAACCTTGGCTTTATAAAAATGGTTGACTATATAAGATATTAATTTTGAGTTATTTAGGTTTTCAGAAGGCAGTGTGCTTTTATATTTAGAATTAAGGTTACCTAGTGCTATTAAATAATATGTTTTACTGTAGTAGTTTTGGAGCAATCCTATATTATTAAATAAAACATTTGGGTTCCATTAAGTTAAGAAGATGGGCAGTGGCATGATTTTTTATCTCTGGGCCTTTAATGAGTTGGTAAAGGTCATCATTTGTATTGATTGTCCATTGAACTTGTTCTTTTCTTCTTGGGAGAAATAAAGTTTATTTTGAGAATTGATGAAGACATTCAGCTTTTTGGACATCATTTTTGTCTATGAAAACTCATTTTTGAATTTAAAATGGAAGTCAGTAGAGGAAATTTAATTCTGAAAATATTGCTTTCTGTATCAAATATATTAGTCAGCCACTTACCTGAGATTAGAGGATTTATAAAAGCCAGTAAACGTTGAAGTTTTTCACAAAAAGTTTTTTCAGTTTTGGTTTCTGTTTTGTTTTTTTAAAAGCCAGCCTCAGAAAAAGTGAGAATGCTTTCATAGTTAAACTAAAAAGAGTAAAGTGCCATTTATGACTACTTTCTATTCGTTTTGACAATATTTTAGTAATTTTAAAAAATAAATTATCCATCCTGAAAAGTGTTAGGAATGGGAACTAGACTCATTTCAGATACATTTTAATATTCTTCTTTCTCACTTTTGTTTTTAATGTTTATGTTTTATTACAGAAATAAGGCTTATTTGTGCTAACTTGTACATCTAGGGTAAATGAATAAACTCTTTAAAAAAAGGTTTTTTTTAGGGTTACTATTACGGCGTTTTAAAATCTGTACTCACAAAGTAACTTTGGACCCTATTCCTAATTTCTCAATTTTTTTCTTCCTTTCTTCATCATCCTTAGTAATGTAGATGACTTATTGAGTATTTTTCCTTAGGTGTCACTTACTCATTATTTAGTCATTGAATAAATATTTTAACGTTCAGTCGTATTTTTCACATCATTAGTTGTATTATTTTTATAAACAGGGAAATAGGTAGTTTTTATTATAAAAACGCTATGTCAGGCAAAAATGTATCTCTCAGCATATTCCTGATGGTGGTTTCTTCTTCAGCTGTTCCAGCAGCTTTCGCAATGGGTGCTTTGCTGTCTGCACCTGTCTTTCTGGTCTTGCTGTAATTGATGTGCTCTAGGCCAGATTCCTTTGCTGTCTTTTTTTTGGTCTTCTTAGCACCCATTTTTTGCCATTCATTTTCTCTTCCTTGCTGTTTATAGCTAGTGATAGTTGAATGTGATGCTTGAATGTGATAAAGGTATCTTAAATAATGTTTCATGAAGATTTCCCCTCATTAATCTTATTTTGTGGAAATAAAGAGGTTTTATCATTCTTGCTGTTTTTTACTCTTTGCATATTACATATTATGCTTTTTTTTTAAGATTCAGAGCAGAAAGGTAAATATTGAACACTTGTACATCTGTTGAAATCACTAAAAAATCCTATGGACGGTGAAAGCAGAAGTATTTATACAGAATATTCTAGCAGGCAAAATATTACATAGGAAATAAAAAGCATTAAGCTCAGAATGATAAAGATAGAGTAGATCTAGGATTCAGTATTTTATCCAGTGTTAGAATTGCTAAATATTTCATTGTCTAAGAATATTAATATGCCTTTAACTGATATTTGAACCATTTGGCTATTGATGTAGGGGACCTACTAATATCATCCATTGATTATTAATGTGATTTGGTAGATTGAGATAAAAGATTCCATTTTTACTTCAGAGTTTTAAGAATTCTGATGACAGTAAAGAGGTATATATAGTTTTTTGACTAGTTCTTGTGTTTCTTTTGGAGGTAAGCTTGGTATCTTTTATCAAAGTCACGCTCTCATGATCCCATAATTATTTTCATCTTATTAAGTGTATAAGAAGCCAAACACTTAGCTTTGTAAAGAGAACTACAACAAATTATGAATTAATTTTTCTCTTACCGGGAATAAGTGTTGGGTATTCTTGTATTAATTAGAATTTAAAATGTTTGCTATTGACCTGCCAAGATCATGCAGCTTTTCTATACTGTTTCTATACTGTTAAACTTCTGTTTAGTCAAATGAGAGAGACAAAATGTTTGCTGTATAATGTTGAATCGAATTCTGAAAATAACCTTCAAAAACCTGTCTTAGTTTCTAACATAACAGAGACAAATTCTTTCTTCTTTAATGCTGAAGAAGAGTCAAGTTAATTCTTAGTCAAATTTGAAATATTTCCCAAAGGTTATGAATTAATTACATAAATGAATGTGTTTATATTACACGTCATGCAGAAGTTAGTAGATTATTAAGGGTAACAGTTTATGCTTTAGTGAAAATGTAGAAGAGCATTTATTATAACTTATTTCTCTCTTTTAGGGGAATTTTTAGAAAAGGTGAGACAGAAAAAGAAACGTGACATCACTGTTTTGGACCTAGGATGTGGTAAAGGTGGAGATTTGCTCAAGTGGAAAAAAGGAAGAATTGACAAGCTAGTTTGTACTGGTAAGAGAGAGAATGACATGGGAAAGAATGCTTTGTGGTCATCCAGGTAAATGGAAATGAGAAAGGTCTATTATGGGCATAACACTGAAATAACCGTGCCACGAGATGTCTGGGGGCTGCGCATGAGACAGGTGTTTTTTAAACGAGGAATGCGAATTCACTGATGGTGTTAAGACCACAGATGATTGAAGTCATGTTGGACTCCATGTTTGAAGCACAAACTTGGAAAGGCTTTCACTGGTCACAGATAGGACAGTTTCTTAAATTAAAAAAAACAGTAATTATAGTGGATTGAAACACATGAAATAAAGGGGAAAAAATCTCATTGTTCAGACTTGGAGGGAGCAAGGAAACTTACTCAATTATTCTGAAATGTATAAACAAAGGCAGAGGGTATTTATCTTTTCTAACCCTATATGAACCATGCATAACCAAATGGTTGAAAAGACCAATTCCTGTTTATTGAAAAATCATGATGAATAAATCTTTCCACCCTTGAGGAAATAATGGCTCTAAGCCGTAGTCATTAATAGCTGAAGCTATTAGGAGAAAAGTTGAAAGGAACTTAACTGGATTAATCAAGCATCTGAACCTCCCAGTCAGTCTTAACCCAGAAGAGGGGCAGGCAGATGACATGTTCCTTCCCGTCTGGAGTCATGGGCACGCATGGCACTGCCTGTGGAGTTATGTTGCCTAAATCGGCACTTCTCACAGTTTCTGGTTTATGATCTCAGTACGCTCTTAAAAATGATTAAGGACCCCAGAAAGCTTTTGTGTGTGTAGTTAAATCTATTGATTATGGAAATTAAAACCAACAATTTTAAAAATAGCTTTAATTTATTACAAATAAAATTTAGAAGACTAGCATTTTAAAAATATTTTTGCAATTTCTTTTAAAGTCTGTAATAATAAAAGACAGCTGAATTTGCACCCCTGTTTCTGCATCAGTATGTTGTAATGTGTTATTTGATGAGCAGTGAAATGGAATTATTTGATGGGAAACTCTATTAAATCTGTCTTGCACTTTGCGAGGTTTTGTTCACTAAAATTATGCAAATCTTCTACAAGTTGGCATCAAGAAATCACATTGGTTTAATATCACCATCAATCAGAAAAGTTTTTAATATTGGGACAATACCCAGCCTATTGTGATATAAACAGTTTTTTCAGAGCTATAGTTTTCAGTTGAATGCCCAGGTTTATCATTGGTAACAAATACCATCTGTGGTTTTCACTTTTTTCATTTTGAAGAAAAGGTCTGCCAGATTACAAGGTCTGAATAACCAGTTTGTCTCTCTGTGGTTCTTCAAGTGAAAACAATTTTTGTATGAAAAAATTGGCCAGTACAGCTTGCAAACAGTCACACCAGTCCTGTTCAGATAGACTTCGTTATGTAGCAGAAATGTTTTGAAGATTTTATAAGATTAATTTTTACTGCTTTATCACGAACATTCCTAAATGAAATTGGCTTCCCCCTTTCCCCTTTTTTTCTTTCTGAGCTGCTTTATAGCAGTGAAAAATATATCAAGAATTACCAGTATCATTGGTGCTCCTACCTTATATTCATGACATATTATCAACTGCTATTTCTTTGTGTTAGTCACTCAGTCATGTCCGACTCTGCAGCTCCATGGATTGCACCCCACCAGGCCCCTCTGTCCATGGAATTCTCCAGACAAGAATATGGGAGTGGGTAACTATTCTCTTCTCCAGGGGATCTTCCTGACCCAGGGTTTGAATCTGGGTCTCCTGCATTGTAGCCAGATTCTTTACCACTGAACCACCAGGCAAGTCCTTAGACTGCAAGGAGATCAAACCAGTGAATTCTAAAGGAAGTCAACCCTGAATATTCATTGGAAGGACTGATGCTGAAGCTGAAGCTCCAACACTTATCAGGAAAGAGCTGACTCATTGGAAAAGACTCTGATGCTGGGAAAGATTGAGGGCAGGAGGGGAAGGGGGCGACAGAGGATGAGATGGTTGGATAGCATCACTGACTCAATGGATATGAATTTGAGCAAACTCCAGGAGATGGTGAAGGACAGGGAAGCCTGGTGTGTTGCAGTCCATGGGGTCGCAAACAGACAGGACTGAGCGACTGAATAGCAGCATCCACTGGTGCTTCTGTACCTGCAGTGCAAGTCTCAACACGGAAAAAACAAATAACATTGTATTAGGAAAATATAAAGAGCTGAATGTACAGAGTTAGGTTTTATAATTCAAGTTGGAATCTAAACTGTCTGCTTTAAACTTTGAATAAGCATTTAAAAATGATGATAGAACTTCTCTGTTGTCAGTACTTATTGAGAAAGTGTTTAATTCGTTCTGAAAAATATCGGTCATTTGCATTGGTACAGAAGACTTCCTTCTCCCTTGTTTTGAAGGAAATAGAACCTTTTTGCTTTTCTAAGGCTAGATTTCTTGCCAGAGTTTAACAGTTGAGATGAAATCTAGATTGTGCCAGTTTTGTGTTTCTTATGTAACTCTGTGGGCCTCTGCTGACGTCACTGATGCCCCTTCCCCTTCCAGATATCGCTGATGTTTCTGTCAGACAGTGTCAGCAGCGGTATGAGGACATGAAAAATCGTTGTCGTGATAATGAGTATATTTTCAGTGCAGAATTTATAACTGCTGATTGTTCAAAGGTATGTGTTTTTTTAGAAGTATGTCTTTTTATATTTTTAGTTTTAATAAGTGATTTGTTTTAAAAATCAGCTCATTTTTAAAAAATGTGCTTTGGAAACATTAAAATTCTTAGGACATGCATTTTTTTATTTCAGCTAGAAATTCCATTAATGATACATTTCCTTAAATGACCCACCGAATACTTCTGATAATTTTTAGCTTTTAATACTTTTACTTTGGAAATTGTTGGTTGCTTTTCTGTTTGGACACTGTTTTCTCGTATTTTGAAATAGATCTGTGTTTAGGTTTTGTTTACCCTGTAATTTGTTTGGCCAGCTTCTCAACATGTTACAGTCCGGTGACACCTATTTCTGGATCTCTTTGACAGCTGAAGTTCAAGACTACAGAGGCACTTGAAATGCTGAAAATCTCCCCCTTGAACTTTATCTCTCTATTCTGACTTGTTAGCTCTTTAAATTATTATAGATACCTTTAACTACACATTTTGTTGGCAGTTGTGAAGGTGGAAAGAGGTAATAGTATACTGCTAGAAAGTTAGAAACCTTTAAAAAACATTTTGCATTTTTCAAAATTTCCCAGGGAGTTCTCTGGCAGTCCGGTGATTAGGATTTGGCACTTTCACTGCTGTAGCCCAGGTTCAGTCCCTGATTGGGGAATTAAGAGCCTGTCAGCTGCATGGCAAAACCTAAAAAATAAAAAAATGTCTCAAAGGCCGGCTTTGTGTTTTTCATAAACCCAAGTATACAGGTCAACATCATTTTACTTTAGTTTCCCAGTAAAGCCAATTAAAGAATCAGTTCCTTTAAATGTCATGTTTGATGTATTTTTAGTATGATTCCAGAATCTCTAGTTTTTGAAATTACTCTGAAAGTGGGAATCAAGTTCTCTTGAACCAGAAAGAACATTTTTATTATGGTCCTTAAGATACATAATGATAGAGGACAGGTTGGTTGGAGGGCATGTCAACTTTTATTTTAGGGATCCTAATATTAGAAATTCACTAATTATGTTGCAGCCAACTTCAAAATCTTGACCCATTATAATTTGTCTCAGGAACTCCTGACTGATAAGTTTCGTGACCGAGAAATGTGCTTTGACATCTGCAGTTGTCAGTTTGTCTGTCATTACTCATTCGAGTCCTATGAGCAGGCTGATGTCATGCTCAGAAATGCGTGTGAGAGACTGAGCCCTGGAGGCTATTTTATTGGTACCACTCCCAATAGCTTTGAATTGATGTAAGTACTTTCATATATTGTGGTTTATAAAATATTCAAAATTAAGCTTATTTTAGAGCAGCAGATGTTTATCAGAAATAGAGTTTATAGAAGGGCTGAGCACTTTGATGATGTATTTGTGTAGATAATCTGGTTTTAAGTTAAAAAGTCAAACTTACAGATGAACCTTTAAAACATCTTTGTCTATTAGTTGGGGAGTGATGTTGCATTGAGCCAAAAAGCCAGAGATGGTATTGCTAGATAAACTCCAGATCAGATGAGACTTAACCAGCTGTCATGATAATGAAGCCTACTTCTAGCATAATTTTGTTAGTGATATTGTTAATGATATTTTAGCATATTGCTTCTTAAAAGTAGCTCAGACCCACTTCACAGCTATAAATTACATCATGTGTGTTCCTCCCCATATTTAATCTGATCAAAATAAATTTGACCTAATAATAGATTTGATTTTTTGGGGGGGGGGGATAACTTACAGAAGACGCCTTGAAGCTTCAGAAACAGAATCATTTGGAAATGAAATATATACTGTGAAATTTCAGAAGAAAGGAGATTATCCTTTATTTGGCTGCAAATATGACTTCAACTTGGAAGGTGTTGTGGATGTCCCTGAATTCTTGGTCTATTTTCCATTGCTAAATGAGTAAGAATGTCATTAATCTGTTACTATTCTCATTTGGGGGCTTCCCAGGTGGGTCTAGTGGTAAAGAACTCACCTGCCAGTGCAGTAGATGTTAAAGTTGAGGGTTTGATCTCTGGGTCAGGAAGATCCCCTGGAAGAGAGCATGGTAAGCTACTCCAGTGTTCTTGCCTGGAGAATCCCATGGACAGAGGAGCCTGGCAGACTACAGTTCATGGGGTCACAAAGAGTCAGACACGACTGAAGTGACTTAGCACATAGCACATTCTCTTTTTGCGTAAGAATGAAGGTAAAGGGGGAAAAATTAGTATTTCTATTTGTCTCTTATTTTAAGTGGGATCTTAAGAAGTATAGCCTGAATAATGACAAAACTAAGACTCAACAGTTGGTGCCATAGGTCACTTACAGCCTTATTCATTTAGTTTCTTTTATTCCTGAAACTATTTTATCCTGTAGGCAAGAAAAGGGGCCTGTTGCCTACAACTTGTGGCATGAAATAACTGACAACTAGAAATAGCAAAGATTTGTTTTTAAGTAACTATTGGTACTTGGGTAACTAAAATTAGTCGTCTCAAAGTAGGGATCCTCCTTTTGACACGAATAGGTATATTAAAAGTTGTTTTACATTTCACTGTAGCTTATGAAACTGTGACTCATGGCAGTGGTGATAGTAAAATCCTGATTCAGGAATGTATTCATGAACCTGAATTCCTGGGAGTCCTGGCAAACCATAGGCCCAGGGAAAGCTGAGGTTTCAGGCTATACAGGTAGGGCACCAAGGCCTAATGAGACACCTTGGTCTTGGGGGTTTCCCGGAGAGGAAGTATGGAAGAGTCAAGTTATATGTGGGCCATGTCACAGCTGACCAAAGTGTATTTCCTTCTTTTTATTTTTTCTTCTTTTTAAAACAAAGCCTTCATTAACTGAGGAAAAGGATGAGCTTTATTCTTTTGCTTATTTTTAGATGGTGATTATTTATTTGAATTGTGTTTCAGTCAGCTTGTAAAATTATGGGTGTAGGAGTTTCAGGAGTTCTACAGTGTATAAAACTTTTAAAGAAAGTGAAAATGAAGAAAATGAAAGAAAATAAACGTGATTAAACATGGGAAATAGTATGCACAATTTATAAATATGAAAGTTAAAAAATTTATATCACATTTTCCTTATAATTAGCAAACTTTGGGGAAATGTTATGCTTGAAGAAATTAAAACGTTTTTAGTATGTTATATGTTTGGTGTGTTAGCTTGGTGCTTTTGGTTGACAGTTGGTGATTTGAGTATACCCCAAAAGATAAAGAATGAAACAAAAGTGTTTTTTTTTTCCAAATGGCTAAGCAAACATTAGCAATCTTTTCTGTTTGTAATTGTTAATGATGATAAACATATCAAGTAGTAAATTGTCACTTTAATTTTCAAATTTTTATAAATTATTTATTGAGATAGGTATTCGTTCAGAGAGATGATCTGCAAATGCATAGGGATCCAAACTGCCTTTTCTGTCTTGTTAATTAGCTTTCATATGCAGACCTATTCAAATCGGTCAGATTGAGTCTCTGTTCTTGGTAATTATATTTGTAGATGTAAAGCTCAGTTTCCCTTGTAAAGGTTTATTTTGGATATTTTTTGATAGAAAATGAATGCCTGGAATAGAAGAGGCTTTATATTGACTTGTGTTGACTTCTCAAGGGGTCTGATGCAAGTGGCAGGGACTCCTGCTGTACACGCGGCTCTTACATGCAAAGCTGAATGGCCCTCTGATGTTCCCTTCACTCTGTCCCCTCGTCCGTCACTGCAGGGGTCCCCTTTCAGGGTTTTTCCTGTTTCTCCTCTCATCTTTTATCTGCTGCTTGAAATCATCCTCAGGTTCCCTTTTGTTGTCTACAGATGTGCAGTAATCTGCTTTGGCAATTGAGGTGGGAAAGATAGACCTAATTAGACTTGAGGAAGCCACTGGGAGAAAGTGACATCTAAGGGAGAAAATGATATCTAAATCAACATCTAAAGGGTGTCTAGTTGGCCAGTTTTGCCGTAAGTGTGCTGGGGAGCCAACGAGGGTTTTAAAAGGACATGACCTGTGCGCTTATGAAGCATCATCTGACTGCAGTTGGAAAATTGGTTGAGGGAGAGTAAGAATAAAAGCAGGGAAACAAGCAAACGAAGTGGTACCACATTGAATGGTGGTGGTGAAAGAGCAGGCTGGTGGCCAGTGTCGGGATTGGAAGCGGGCCTGTTCCAAGTACATTTTGCAGGTTAATGGAGAGGATGTAGTGGCATGCTGAATGCTGGGCACAGGGTGGGGCGGCAAGGAGCATTAGATGGTTTACTGAAATAGCAAAGACTGGCAGGAGAATAGGCTGGTGGGATTCAGCCCTGCACGCCTGGGATCATCCTGGTGGAGATTTCTAGAGAACATGGAGTGAATGTGACAAAAGCCAGGACTGAGCTGCCACCGCTGATGGCAAGCTGTGTACATCAGGGAGTGATATCGAGCAAGGATCTGGGCCATTTTCTTCAGAACTGTGACATCTAGAATTTGGGAAAAGAGACCTGTAGAAAACTTACTGTGGAGACGCAGTTCAAGATGTAGGATAAAAATTAATAGTTTGTCTTGCCAGGGAATCCAGTAGATGAAAGGGAATATTTTCATTTCACTTCCTGGCTTGTTTGTTAGGTTACTGGAGTTCCCTGTGACCCAGGGAGATCTAACTGCATGTTTCCTTCAGGTCACTAGGGCGTTGCCCTTCACTTATTTTGCATGGTCCTCTTGTGAATTTGTAAGGTTTTTAGTTAAGCCCAGAAAGATGTTACTGTTGCGTAAAGAATTACAAATATTTTGGAAGCCTTTTCATGAAAGAATCTTTTTTGGACAGAATGGCGAAGAAGTACAATATGAAATTAGTCTACAAAAAAACATTTCTGGAATTCTATGAGGAAAAGATTAAGAACAATGAAAATAAAATGCTGTTAAAACGAATGCAGGCCCTGGAGGTGAGTATTTAGAAATTGTATAAAAATCCCAGGTTATCGCATACTTGTTTGGTTCTTTCTGAGATTCCTTTCAAGGCCATGGACACTCTCAGTATTTATATAAACTGCACAGATAACTGGTGCCAATGCTAGACTGTTCAGCATCTAGAACAGAGCTTTAACATGGGCTGTCAGGACTGTCGGCATTTGGGGCTGCTCTGTATCTGAAGCTTAAATTTTTACACTACAGGAATAAGCAAATTTATTTCTCATTGGCAAAAATGTGTTGATTGTAATGGTTCCAAAATGGTTTTTTGATTAATGAAGATGTGTTTGAGCCTAGTTATAATGATTTAAAATTCACGGTCTGAAACTGCAATTACGTTTGCACCAACCTAATACTTAAAATGGATTAAAAATAATGCTTGAAGTAATTTGAATATCAGACATTTGGTCACCATATCTTTAAAAACACAGCATTTTTTTGAGACCCTTCTTCATATTCTGTGTAATTGTGGAGACGATCTATATTGGAGGCTAGTGTTTTCCTTCTCTTCTGAAACTCCCAAGGTTCTGTTGACTGAACATTTTATTTGTATTATTTCTAGTTGCTGTTCGTACTTCCATGGCGGTTAAGTCACCATAACATTCGGATGAATGTTTAACTCTTCTTTTGATAACTTCCTTCAGAGTTGAGTTGTGGCAGGAAAAACCTTTGCCCAGGAGTCACGGAGATATAGGTGTTTGCTGCCAAGTGGTCTTGGTGGCGATTCAGGACACGTTCAGTCCCTCTGTGACACTCTATAATTGTAGGTACTCCGGCCATGCTCATTATTGACCACTGCAGCTGCTTTGTTCAGAGAGGATTCCCTCCACTCCTTTTTTTTATATTTCAAAAGTATATGTAGTTTAAATTTATCAAGTAATACTTAAAGATTATTATCTCATTTCAGTGATTTAGGGTGTTTCATTCTGAATTGTAAATTTCAATGTAACGACTCAACTAGGAATTTCCCTTGATTCCTTAGCCATATCCTGCAAACGAGAATTCCAGACTTGCCTCTGAGAAGGTGGGTGACTATGAACATGCCGTGAAGTACATGAAGAACGGTCAAGTGAAGCTACCTTTGGTAAGGTTTCATTGTTTAACAAGTCTTATAGAAAAATGGAAACTTAAATTATTTCACTGGTTTACAATACTGGTTCACTGACTTATAAATAGATACACTTTAGCCTGTTTCTCCTAAGTTATGACTTTATAATTGTAGAATACAGAATAAAATGTACTTTAATGCTGAGAAATGTGGTGCAGTATTTGAGAGAGTAAGGATGGGAGGAATGTTCTTGGCTTGGCTTGAGAGTTTTCTTGCTGTATCATTGTATCTTAGCCTGGACACTTCTGACTAGCAGTGTTCCATAGATATAATTCAGGAGCTTGAACTTAGATGGGGAAAAATTACATCTTCACAGACTTCTGTGTGGAAGTTTCCTTAATTATGAATGCTCCACAACCATAGTGGTATTACTAGTTGTAGCTGTGACTTTGTTATCAGTAGAAATTATAGATATTTGTGTGACACATTTTTGCTGACATTTTATAGTATTGATGTTTGTTTATCACTTCTTCAACATTTATCACTTCTTCATTCCTTAGTTATTAGACTTGTCACTGTATCTTGTTACTCAGTGTCAGTATCAGTTACTTTCCAAAATAGCAAGTATGTTACTAAATGCAGTTTATTTCCTTTGTATGCTAGATATTTTGTGATTTCCTTTGTAAAAACACAAAAGTCTTCCTGCAGTATTATTTGATGTTTCAAGATAGGCCTTTTATCTCCCAAGTTAAAAATGTAAGCTCAGTACTTTTCCAGTTACAAATGAATACCCTGTTTATGCGGATTCACCCTTTGATTGAGAATCAGTGGTTTAAAGAATTGGCAGGAGCACAAAAGTGATGAGAAGATGGCATTAAGAGTTAATCTCATTGATTTATTTTATATTCAGATCACAGAAATATTAACAGTAAATTGTATGTATATTTATAATGAAGTTAGGGTTTGGGGGCACCTCTGACCATTATTGAAAAATAAGTAGACGTGTACTTCTATATTCAATCTGAAATTTTCTTCCTTATTTTTTTAAATTTTAGGGGACCTTAAGTAAATCAGAATGGGAAGCTACAAGTGAGTATATCGTCAGTGTAGATTTACTGACATTTGCAAAGATTGCTTCAAAGTGATTGTTAAAATTGGAAGACTTTAGAAATTTTTCTGACACAGATTGTGAGGGGATGATTGTGTTCACACAAAATTCCTATAAATGTCTAGTTCCCCTTGTCTTGCAAGGCTGTTCAGTGCCAAAAGAAAGCATATGCAGGGTGTTCCTTAACGTAAACTTTGAGTGTTCTTAAATATTTCCATTGTCTGCTCGTTACTGCAAAGCCATCTGTATTTTACATCTTTACCTCCCATTTCTGTTGGGAATTTTGGCTTATGGACTACTTCCTTGTGTTTCACTTGGTTGTGGCCTCTGATGTTGACAGTGAAGGCTTTGTAAATGCTAAGATGTTCAGTTAAACAGCACTGAGCAGGATGTCTCGGAGGATGTGCGGTTGGGAACAGCCATGATGTGGAGGCATTCTGGAGTGAGGCGCTCGTCTCTGGATGAGCAGTTAGAGCCTGGCCAGTTCTCAAGGTCCCAGAGCCTCCCTGCCGGAGTGATGGTGGTGCCGCATATGGTCACCCTGAGGACTTACAAGGTAGTTCCCATTCTTCGCTTATATATTTGTTGATTATATTGAAGAGAAAATCAGAGGTAATCAGAGATGAACACTTTGAATATTGAGTTGCATAAAGATCTATGAAAGGGCTTTGGGGATACAAAAAAAATTACTACCTCTCTGACTTGCAGTGGAAGAAACAAAAATAACTGACTTCTAGGCAAATTGTTTCACACGCTGAAGTTCCTGTAATGAGGAAAACGGATGAAGGAGTGCTCAGTGAAAACTAGAGAAATTGGAAAATAATAACAGATGGTGTTATGGAATGTTTAGCTTGGGCCTGGTCGCTGTTGGATGCTTTCATGTGTTAGGCCTCATTCCATCCTCACAGCTTCATGAGTAGACTACTGTTAATCATGTCTTCTTTTCACAGATAATCAGGCAGATAGCTTGGCTAAGGTCAGAGAGCTAATTCAGGCGCTTCACACAGAAGCCCACGTGAAAGGAAGAGTGTTGAGACTTGCTGAATGGAAAGAGAGGACAAGGGAAGACAAGGGCTAACACTTTGAGCTTGTTTGTCTCAGAATATTGTTTCCTTTAGTGGAAATGGGATTGGAAGACATTAGAGACATCATCTCTGATGAATGTGGGAATGTGTGCAGAAACTGACACATTTCTTTGGCTTCCCTGGAGTGCAGATAAGGCAGCTGCCTTAGCTGTCCTGTCACTGCCAAAGGGCGGTACAGCAGGATAGCCTTGGGCAAAGGTCGTGGTGGTGGTGCTGGCTGCAGATCAGGACTGTTTTTTTAATACTAAATGTGGACTTTAGTGATACTATGTATATGAATTAGATGCCTCCAGACAGTTGAAGAAGAGGGGGGTTAGAGATGAGAAGAGCATTAAGAAAGGAGCAGTGGCCACAGGGCAGCCAGGATCAGCGTGTCAGGGCCGTCCGCTCTGTAACGAGTTACACTCTTAAAGCCTAGAGGGCTTTGGGTTGTGCCACAGTCTGAGAAGCTGTATTTTAAACTACTGATCTAATCATTGAGCTCGTATTTCCAGAGCTTGCTGTTCCTCTAGAAGATGCTTTAAATGTGTTGCTGATAAATCAGAAGTGGTTCAGGTTTTGTTTGTTTAAATCCCAATTGAAATGCTGGCACAGAAGACATTTTATATATAATTAGTGAGACTTCCAGAATTTTTGAATTAGAAAAGAGAGAAAGTTACTCATTGCTGATCTGAAATCGGGCATTAGTTTTCAGTGACCCTACGTCAGAGCAGCTCAGGACTGCCAGATTACCTGCAGTAGGTGCAGAAGTGTTTGGGGTGGATTTGGCAGGGTTGGTTGTAGAGAGAACACTTGGAGTGCAGGGCAAGCTCTGATGCTGAACTGTCCTGAGCTTCAGGACTTGCTCATGAGAGCTTTAGGTTGCTCTGCTATCTGACCCTTTAGAGGAATTTACAGTGTTAATGATCACTCTGCCTGTTTTCCGCCCGTCTGTCTGCTTTGCTGCCAGCCATCTTTCATTTCTCCTAAAAGGCTCAGGAGGTAGTAGATGAGGAGTAAAGAGCAGCATAATCAGAGAGGTGTTATGGGAGACTGCGTTGGTGCCTTTGTGCAGACTGGATTGGGGGGCAGAGAGCTCGAGGATTGGGAGGCCCTTACTTGGTCTGCCATCCTTCATCCGTCCCCTGTTCCACAGTTGACCCAAGGGGCACGGCTTCCTTGTCACATGGCTTCTTATCTTGACTTGCTGGTTGAATGTCCTAGTGAACATCCTGAACATTCTTGTGATATCGAGACTTTGTCATCTCTGTCGTTTTCATAACTGTAACGTTTGTCAGTCTCTTAGAAGAAGATACGTTTGAACCTCAGTGATTCAGGATGAGGAGCTGCAGGTGCATTTGGATGTCTGAGTGAACACATGTGGAGCAGGAGGCCTGGTTTCAGGGAGCATGCTCTTGAGGCTGGGTGTGTCTCTTCAGGGGTTGTGAGTCATCAGGTAGCCTTGGCCCACTTTTCTTACCATGCCCTTAGCACTGCAGCTGGGTAATTGGATGAACTTCAACATGCACGTTATATTCCTTTACAGTTTTTTTTAGGGTTCATTTTTACCCCCAAGTAGCAAGCTTAAGAGTACCCCTGCACTCACAGTAGTGTAGTTATTCCAGGTAAAAATAATTAAATCATAAAGTTTCCAGTTTTCATTTTATACTTTTTTCTCCTCACACTGTCAGTAGGGATTTTAGAGCTGCTAAGTTGGATTGCTCCATGCCTTTGATGTCAGAGTATTACAGTAGGTGGATATTTGTTTTCACATAAATAGATATGATCTTGTATCTACTTAACCATGACTCACAATTATTGAAGAACTCTTAGAAATAAATAATGGAACTTTTCTTTCAAAAGCTGCTTGAGAATTTTCACCAAATTATGAATGAGACCAAGACTGTTGCCCTGAGGATATGAGAAACCAACCTCTAATTTTATTTGTTTTCTTTTTAGGTATTTACTTGGTTTTTGCATTTGAGAAGCAGCAGTGAGCACATCACACATGCAGTGGCACCAAAACAACTGTGTTCTGTCTTATACAGATTTGAACGGTCTACCTTCCATAGATCTGACACCCTTGTTAAATGTAACTATTCTCAGTGGGCAGGATGCTGCTGGAAACGTCAGTGTATAAATGGAACTTTTGCTGTCTGTGACAGATGAACTTTGTGTGTGTATATAAGAATGAGATGGGACCTTTGTCTTTAAAAATCTATTTTTAAGTAATGTTCTAAGAATTCCATTTACTTCCACTCTCGTAGCTCATAAAAATTATAAAATGACGTGTTAAAGCCTGAGTTCTTTCACCAGTGCTCTGCTTTGTCCCGTGTTTATTTACAGTATTAAACTTTTGCAGTTGTAGAATTGGTGGGAGTGTACTAATTCGCAGGGATATGTGCTCATTTCCGAAGTTTTGTTAGTGTTTTTCAGGGTTAAAATAATTGCTCTCTGTACAACTGAATGTCAGTGTTCAATAAGTTTAAAACTAAAATTTACATGGTGATAAAAGTTAATTAACTTTAACTTAGGATTATAGCCAATTATTAAATTTCATTTTAAATAGCAACTAGTTCATTTGCTAACATGATTGAGTTCTAGAACTGAACAGAACATTTCAGATTCCAGCATAAAATTGTTTTGCATTTGGGGGGCTTTCTCATAGGAGTTCCCGATGATAGCAGTTAATGTTTCTAGTTATCAAGGATGTAATTCATTTCTTTCCTGAACCAAAATGCCGTGGGTATTTTTCTCAAGATTTAGTGGATGTCTCCCATGTGAACCTGTTTGCACATTTTTCTCAGATTTATATAAGGAACTGGGTTGGAGGGGGCGGATGGTGGGGCAGGGGCAAGGATCCGCAGGCATGGAGGTATGGGGGTGGGCCAGTGGGCAGTGTGTGGCTGTGAAGGGAGCTGACAGAGAGGCTTGAGGGATCCTCCTGATGGAGGTCTGGGCTGCGGTGCTGCATGCTGTCGATCTGTTCCCCTCTGTCCCAGAAAGAACCAGTACGTGTTCCTCCATCAAGTGTTGTGCTTGGCGCAGTAGGATCTGGTGTCTCATCCCCACTTGGAGTTTTCATTTGCCATTTCAGAACCCTTAAGAGTTGTCAGCCTTGGCTTCTCGCATGACTCTTCTGAAGCTGACACCAAAGTGAACTGTTGTCCTTGATTTATCACCATTTACAAAACTAACCAGTTTTGATATATAGAAAAAAATTTAAAGAGCAAAGCAGAGAATTTATACATACTCTTTTAAAAATAATTTCTTTCATGCATGGTTTTAAAAGACATTTCTTTCTGTAATTATCCAGAGTACTTGTTAAGAAACTGTTGTCTCTTAGTTTGTTTACATGTGTTGATTGTTCATTGTGTTAGAATAGCAGACATTTCAGCTATTAGGTAACACAGATTACCTAATTTCTGTTCCTTCCACAATCTGTGCATCTCCAGCTGTTACCAGTTTATAAAAATGTGATCCACCATAAGTTGTTAGAGGAAATAAATAATAGCACTTCTCACTGGTGGCTGCCATTCGCCAGCTGAGGTTTGGTGACAGTGCTGGGAGGTGGGCTTGTGAGCTCTTAGTATTACATCAGTTCTGGGGGAAAGTGCTAGGAAGTACTGTGATAGTTTGGTATAGAATGCAAAGCTTCTCTGTTATCTCTGTTCTCATGTAGTGATCTTAGTGTATTCCAAGCAAGTAATAAGACATATTTTTAGCCTCCTTCTGCTCTTTCCAGTCCATGGAAAATCTGGGTGGAATAATTTGTGGTGGCAAAGCCAAGTGGAAAAGGAGGATAAAAAGGAGCAGAGAGAGCTGGATGGGCTCCGGGGTCTGAACGAGCTGGTGTGTGCTTGGAGGTGCTCAGAGCCTCCCCGGAAGGTGTGATGTCCTGTACGTTGCACTTTGCACATTTATGACGTTGTTGCCTTCCCTGCTCTCCTCCCTGACATCTCCTGCTGCAGCTAGCTGTGGGCAGTGACTGAAGAAGAACTCCCATCACCAGTGTAAAAGCTGATGGGACTTCCCACACACATCTGCAGTCTAAATATTTGATGATTTTCTATCCAAGACCTGGGGAAACTGTTAAGGAGAGTGGGCTTTTCATTATCAGGCCAGTGATGTCAGGCGCTCATGGGAGTGACTGAAGGGCACTTTCAGACCTGCCATTAGGTTTGTCCCCTGAGAATGGAAGTAGAAATGAGGATCAGATACAGCCTCTGTGGAAAGAAGTTGGGAGGAATGGACTGGGAACCTGGCTGTGTGTAACTAAGAGCAATCAAATGGAATTCTTTGGGCCTGGAATCTTAGTAAAGCAAGGGCACTGCATGGCCGGTGTTCAGGAGGAGAAACTGGCCATTTCCCACTGCACCGAAAGGAAAGTGTCCTGACCTGCTGGCTGAAGCAGCCTACAGGTGGCAACTGTGCCCTGAGACCACCAGGCCTCCACTCCAGTGTGACTCCCCAGAGAAATCTGCATCCAGGAAGAGAAGAATTGATTACAGGCTGTGATGATTCTTGAGAGGTAGATTGTCAGTGCAGGGTTTCCTACTCACCCCTCACCAAACTTGGAATTCTGAGAAGTACGATTGCCATCTACGTTCATGTTAATGGTGTTTCTAGAGCATCCAAACAAAGAGGTACAAGTGAGAAGGGCCTGGAGGCAGGGGTGTGATATGGGTCAGCACAGGAGAGATCACAGGAGCATTGTTGGCTGACCAGCTCTGCAGTCCCTTTAGCTCTTCTGGGAACTGATTCAGCCTGTCTTAGCTCATTGTCATTGTGTTGTTTCATAAGTCTTCAAGTATCCTTCTAATGAGTATTTGGCTTCCTGTGCAAATCTTTGTATGGGGAAGAACTGCCAGTGTAAATGTTCAAGCTACTGAACGTGACTTTTATGAACTGACTTTCTGTTGTCTACCTCCACCTCAGGCCAGACCCAGGGACCATGGCCCTGTAATCACAGTACCATAATGCTTGTGACACCTACTGGCCCTTTGATCAAACAGGAAGCATGAGTGTATAATATCACTACCTCCCTGGTCAACATCAAATGCTGCACATCTGATAGGAAGCTTCTTCATTTCCTGCCCTCTGACAACATTATTCCTGATTCTTTGAAGGTAGCTGATACAGTGGCTGCTGCACTCATTTATTTAGTGATAGACTTATTTCAGCAGATATACACGGGACTGGAGTTGGGTAACAGCCAGCTTTTCACCTCACATCCATCTCTGTTCCCGTTTAGCCTGGGGCATGTGTGCCTGCTTCTCACTGCACTACTGAACAAGTGTGGGGCACCCAGCAGTACTCTCCCAGGCTGGCCTGGCAAGCTCCAGATGGAAAACATGCATACAGTCAGGACCCATATCAAACAGTGTTCCCAGCACCCCAGAAGTCCCTCTTTCTCCCTTTTAGTTGCTGCCTCCCATGGGTAACCACTGTCTGGACTTCCAAGAGCATGGGATAGTTTTGTCTGTTTTGGGACATTTTATGAATAGAATCAAACAATATGTTTTCATTTGTATTGGCTTATTTGCTCAACACTGTGAGATTTCTCACATGTATTTGTACATGGTTGGTTTTCATGACTGCATAGTATTCTGTCACGTGAATAAACCACATGTTATTTATCTAATGGATGTTTGGTTCATTTGGTTCATTCCCAGTTTAGAAATGCTATTAACTCATTATTGACTGGGGGATTTTTGCAGAAGCTAATGCCTGTGGCTGGCCAAAAATTAATTCTCTTATTTGACTAACACTTTATGGGTTATTACATTCAATAGTTAAGCCTGAAATACCTGTAAAGCCTTCTCCAGTATGGTGAGGTTTTTTTTTTCCACTTTCTGTATCAGAGTCAATCACTAAGGTTCTTTTGTCTTTTTGTTGGTATAATAATCACATCATGTAAGTCAGAACTATATTCTGAAGAACTGTTATCTTCTGATATACCAGTGTATATGTCTCTTGAATAATCAAGCAAAGTATCTGCATAAACTTCACCAAAAGATTCTTCACTCAAAATTTAGCCACATGTCATCTTTGAAAATTTTCCTGGTAATAAACTTGCATTTATAGTACAAGGTTGAAACAAAATCCTGATGGAGCAAAATGTGAATGATAATGACAATCATAAGTTGTATGATGAGCCCTTGATCAATTTTGAGCTCTGAAACTTTGCATGGTGATGTTAATTGTATCACTGTCTTAAAAACTTACTGATAAGTCCTGGGTCAATAATGTTCGGGTGACAAAAGACATATTAATAAGTCTCCGGTCATTAATGTGTTAATAGTACTGCTTCAGGTATTCTAGTCTGTGAACTTTAGAGCATGGGTACTCTTCTTTGCCTCGGGGTGGAACTCCTGGGTCACTGTACAGACATTGTGCTCAGCTTTATTGGACTTGCCCCAGCAGGTTTTCTGAGTTCCAGTTGTTCCATTTTTTTACCAACACTCAGTAGTGTCAGTCTTTTTCATTTTATTCTGGAAGGCACATAGTGGTATGTTACTGGCTTTAGGTTTCATTTTAATGCTTCTTAATGAGATTGTATATGGATTCATTACATATTCTAATGTATTGTCTATAGATCAAGCAAAAGATGGATCTATAGATCAGCTAAGATAAAGTCGAGCATGTATCTGCTGATACTTTCTTAGTCGACCTGTCTTTATACTTAGAAATGTCTGTTTTAATAAGCTTCCCTGGTGGCTCAAATGGTAAAGAATCTGCCTGCAATATAGGAGACCCGTGTTTGATCCCTGTGTCGGGAGGATCCCCTGGTGAAGGAAATGGCAACCGACTCCAGTATTCTTGGCTGGAAAACTTCATGGACAGAGGAGCCTGGCAGGCTACAGTCCATGGAGTCACAAAGAGTTGGACACAACTGAGCGACTATCACTCACACCACACACTCAATGAGACTGAGCACTTTTCATATGCTTATTGGCCTTTGTCCTCTTGTGAAATGTCTGTTCAAGTTTTGCCT